TTGCTGCGCGTCTGCCGAATCATTTGCAAACATTGAAGCCAAAACAAATAACCGACTTCAATGCGCCCAAACAGCAGGTGAATTGCGGCTCTTTTCATATTTCTATCAATTTGCATGCCTTGCATTTACTTAGCAGCAATTTTGTTGCAAATTTTTGTGGCGCAGCTTATTGAAATTTGGCTTTGTCAGAAACTACCCCTCCCATTTAACAGCCGTCTCCGAGCAGGCTTTAGTTTCTGCGTTTTTCTTGCTTCTGTGGCAAATCCTGTAAAAGCTAATAACCCATAAGGGGATTCGCTGCCCATTGTCTTTAGGGTCGTAATGTGGGATCAACGCAAACGAACATTTATTGCCAATCCTAAGCAAAAGCGACTGCCACAAAAACAACAACAACAAGCGTCCCTTTCATTGGGGGTTGTGCATCGGTTTAGGGGTTGCTTTTGCTGGTCTCTTCATTCCTCTCATTTCATGCAAGGCTTTTTTTATATTATTATGTGCTAAATTGTAGCAAATTTCATTGTATGTTACTTTTTTGCCACTTAATAAATAAATAATTTAATACTAATTTTAAAATTTGTCTTCAGCTTACCAAAGACTTTTTTGGACGAGTTACCCATAAAACATCAGCAGCGTCTGCGGCGGAAGAGGGTAAGACAATGGCTTTGAAAACCAAAACATATTTTTAAATAATTCTTAAATATTTATTTAACAGTTAAAACAGATGCGATTGTTAAGAGCCCAATATGGTATCGCTATAAGGAGGGCTTCAACAATGCTGTGCGCAAGGATGTACATCTAAACGAGCTGCTTTAAAAAAAAAATCATTATACATATGTTGTTATTAGAATAAAAATATTTATTACTAGCTGATATTCACCGACAAAAACGTGTTTTTCGTACTATATATAGGATTCTAACTAACATTTAAAGTTTTCGGGGTAGTTATGTCGTTTTGAAGCGACAAAGCTCCGCCGAACTAAAAAAATCATGGAGATATGACGTTTCAAAGCGACATAACTTCGCCGTCGATCTTGGCGGATTCTACGGACCTCCCCGAGTAGCCACTCCCTTTTTGGCCCCTATCGGGCTTTATTTGGCCGAGATATAGCCATTTAAAGTTTTCGGGGTAGTTATGTCGTTTTGAAGCGACATAGCTCCGCCGATCTAAAAAAATCATGGAGATATGACGTTTCAAAGCGACATAACTTCGCCGTCGATCTTGGCGGATTCTACGGACCTCCCCGAGTAGCCCCTCCCTTTTTGGCCCCTATCAGGCTTTATTTGGCCGAGATATAGCCATTTAAAGTTTTCGGGGTAGTTATGTCGTATTAAAGCGACATAACTCCGCCGATCTAAAAAAATCATGGAGATATGACGTTTCAAAGCGACATAATTTCGCCGTCGATCTTGGCGGATTCTACGGACCTCCCGGAGTAGCCCCTCCCTTTTTGACCGAAATCCGGCTTTATTTGGCGGAGATATAGCCATTTAAAGTTTTCGGGGTAGTTATGTCGTTTTGAAGCGACATAGCTCCGCCGATCTAAAAAAATCATGGAGATATGACGTTTCAAAGCGACATAACTTCGCCGTCGACCTTGGCGGTTTCTATGGACCTCCCCGAGTAGCCCATTCCTTTTTGGCCCCTATCTGCATTTTTTTTATGTGAACAGCTCGAAAGTAAGCAATGCTTTGTCTACGGACCTTCCCGAGTAGCCCCTCCCTTTTTGGCCCCTATCCGGCTTTATTTGGCCGAGATATAGCCATTTAAAGTTTTCGGTGTAGCTATGTCGTTTTAAAGCGACATAACTCCGCCGATCTAAAAAAATCATGGAGATATGACGTTTCAAAGCGACATAACTTCGCCGTCGATCTTGGCGGATTCTACGGACCTCCCCGAGTAGCCACTCCCTTTTTGGCCCCAATCGGGCTTAATTTGGCCGAGATATAGCCATTTAAAGTTTTCGGGGTAGTTATGTCGTTTTAGAGCGACATAACTCCGCCAATCTAAAAAAAATCATGGAGATATGACGTTTCAAAGCGACATAACTTCGCCGTCGATCTTGGCGGATTCTACGGACCAACCGGAGTAGCCCCTCCCTTTTTGACCGTAATCGGGCTTTATTTGGCAGAGATATAGCCATTTAAAGTTTTCGGGTTAGTTATGTCGTTTTGAAGCGATATAGCTCCGCCGATCTAAAAAAATCATGGAGATATAGCGTTTCAAAGCGACATAACGTCGCCGTTGATCTTGGCGGTTTCTATGGACCTCCCCGAGTACCCCATCCCTTTTTGACCGTAATCGGGCTTTATTTGGCCGAGATATGACCATTTAAAGTTTTTCCAAAAAATTCGTGTGGTTGTGTGACATAATAGTAACCATTGCTTACTTTCGAGCTGTACACCTAAAAAAAAAATGCAGAACGACATAATCTCGCCATGATCAGCGGCGGAGTTATGTCGTTTTGAAGCGACATAGCTCCGCCGATCTAAAAAAATCATGGAGATATGACGTTTCAAAGCGACATAACTTCGCTGTCGATCTTGGCGGATTCTACGGACCTCCCCGAGTAGCCCATCCCTTTTTGGCCCCTATCTGCATTTTTTTTTTTATGTGAACAGCTCGAAAGTAAGCAATGCTTTGTCTACGGACCTCCCCGAGTAGCCCCTCCCTTTTTGGCCATTATCAGGCTTTATTTGGCCGAGATATAGCCATTTAAAGTTTTCGGGGTAGTTATGTCGTTTTAAAGCGACAACACTCCGCCGATCTAAAAAAATCATGGAGATATGACGTTTCAAAGCGACATAACTTCGCCGTCGATCTTGGCGGATTCTACGGACCTCCCCGAGTAGCCCCTCCCTTTTTGGCCCCTATCGGACTTTATTTGGCCGAGATATAGCCATTTAAAGTTTTCGGGGTAGTTATGTCGTTTTGAAGCGACATAGCTCCGCCGATCTAAAGAAATCATGGAGATATGACGTTTCAAAGCGACATAACTTCGCCGTCGATCTTGGCGGATTCTACGGACCAACCGGAGTAGCCCCTCCCTTTTTGACCGTAATCGGGCTTTATTTGGCCGAGATATAGCCATTTAAAGTTTTCGGGGTAGTTAGATTCTGTCCGTCTGTGCAAATGCACCATAATCTACAAGTATACTCCCTAAAGGGAAATTGCAAATAGATCAAATGAATCACAAGTTAACCTTGCACAATTAAATTTGGATCTCCAATAATGCTGATATCACAAATCTTTTTGACAAGAAATAGTTGAACTAATCGGAACGTATTTTCTTTATTCCAATTGCAATACAAAAATGATCTTTTTTCTCGCACTAATGCTCCAATTGTTCGCATTCCATTCGCTATCGCTGCTAATGCTATATAGCTCTGGAGATCTATGTGGCCTACAATCCGAACTCATGTGCTCCCCTTTGGCATATAACTGAGGAATGGCCGCATGCTTCTTATCGCAACCCGTGGGGCTATCGGCAGCTGTGTGTGTTGTGTGTGTGTGTGTGTGTGAGGTGTTGCCGCTGCCAACTTTGATGTCGGTCTGGCCTCACTCAGTCACTCAGTTGTCCAGCGGGTGGTGCTGTGCTATATACTATCAGCCAGATGTCACCGCTGAAGCCTTTGTTGCTGCTGCTGCTGCTCGGGTGGCTCGGATGCGGCCACATTGAGGCACGCTATGTGCACGGCATACCAAGTAAGTGGCTGAGGTGAATCCACCTTGACCAGGCGCTAATTGTTACGTTTGATTTCGATAGATATTTGCATGAAGCCACCGCCGTTCTCCGAGGGTATGTGTACCATTGAGATCGAAGGCTTCTTCTATGATCCGGCGACGCTCGACTGCCGGATGTACTCGATTGGCGCATGCCGTCTGACGCCCGGCCAAAGCTTTGGCAGCCACCAAGACTGCATCGCGACCTGTGTGCGGGGCCAGCGTCGCAGTCGCGATTACTATAAGAATGAATGAGGCGTCTCAATAAACAGATCTGTATGCCTACTATAACAACAAACTGCGTCTGATTTAAATTCAGTGCTCCAGTGTTAATCACCGCCCTGACCCGTGACGTAATTGTTTATTTCCAATGAGAATCTGAAACGTATCTGAAACGTGTTTGACTTTGTCTTCTTGTGGCATGTTCCAGCTCGCAGCCTAATTAATTACTTTACTTAGTTGAGCATCGAGTAGTGCGACGCAAGCACTATTAATATGCTTAATCGAAGGGTATTATAAAAAAACGTTTAGGTTTGTACCTTATCAAAATATTGGAAAAGACGCTAAAGATGGAGTTTATTTGTCCCAAAAAATTCATATTTTCGAACAAAATAAGTATTATAATGGTTTTTTAAGGGAGGCGTTCTAGCAAGGATAAATGAATTTATTGAGCTGCGATTAATAAGCTTTATAAAGTAAAAGATTTAAAAATAATTCCAACAGATGACGATTATTATGATATGGTAAAACAAAATATTAACGATTAAATTTATTTATTTATTTATTAAATTTGCACAATTTGTTGTTTTATCAGATTAACAGAAGTGTATTCAAATCCACCCAAGAGTGTGATAAATGGGTGGGAGAAACTTTTATTCGCACAATCCGATTGAAAGAAAATAATTTTTGTGAAAAATTATAAATCATGCCAAGATGTTGTTGTAGAGCTAAATGTAGTGAGGGTATACAAATGTCGTTGTTTGACAGCTGGTTTGATTGGAGCCCTGGCTGGTGGGCCGGCCTTCTGCAACAGGCGCTCGCCGGTTTCAGCCGGAACCACAGCCCCCCAACCAGCGTTCCTCAGGCGGCTCAGCTAGTCAGAACCATGCATATTATCAACATGGCACATGCAGGCTATGAGACGTCTTAGTTGTTATTCTTGTTGTTGTTGTTGCTCTTATCAGTCAACGGCAGCGTCAGCAGCGGCTATTGGCAGAGCGCAACCTGATTACAAATCCGTTTGCCTTTTGTTCGAGGTTTCGAGTCGAGTCTGCGACAGCTCAAACAGCAGAGTAACAGCTTGGGCGGGCAGTGATCAAAAGTGTCGCAACACTCATTTTCACATTCATTTACAATAATTGTGAATACACAAAGTATTCATTTGTGATCTGTCGCATAGGTGACCGGAACAAGTCGTATAGAGAAGAATATTAATCTGTCAAGTGTGCCAAAAGAATTTTGTGGAATTTTTGGCTTGGCTACTGTACTGTGCTGAACTTGTGTGTCGAGTATTAAAAAACTCATAAATTGAAAAAGAAGACGCGAAAGACATATCAACAGATCGGTATACTATATAGACCAACGGCTACAGTTAGCATCGACAACATTCCATATTTCAATTATAATTACCCCATATATATGGCGCGAAGCAGCTGCCACTGCTGCGCATTTGACTTCAACTTCGTCGCAGCGACAGTCGACTGCGATTCTATGGAAATACAGATGATATCTTTGCCAGCCACAATACAGAGCTGAATTTGCCAGGAGCCAATTACAATCAAATAGGATTCAAGTTCCTGTGCCAAACAACTTAACATAGTATTTGCAAAATGAGTGCCCAGATTCGGAGTAGACAAATCTCGCTATGTCTGCTGCTGTTGTTGGCCCTGTGCCTGGACTGGCAAATGGTTTTGGCACGCACACGTAAGTCTCAAGTGTTTGCATATATATTTTTTGTGTGTTCAACTAAAGTGGCTCCTCGCAGGTGATCTGTGCCAGGTGAAGCCCAGCACGAGCAGCCTCTGTGTGCCGACCACACTGGGCATCTACTATGATGAGGAGACCCAGCACTGCCACTACATGGGTTGCAGCAACAAGCGACTCTTTGGCTCGCTCGAAGATTGCGAAAAGATATGCAACAATGCGCGACACATCAAGCGGCGCAATAACGTGGCCAGCAGCAAAACCAATCAAACAACTAATTGAATATAAGCACTTACAATAGCAGTAGTCGTAGTTGTTATTCATGTCTTTCATCATACATTGCTCGCGAACATCATGCATCATTCACTTGTATATCAGCTTAAATATCACGACAGCTTAACTCACACTCGGCACGGCTGTCAAAACGATTCTCATTGCCACCACAGCCGCCATAGATGAAGGCCTCGCAGCGGCGCTCGAGCGGATTATAGGCATAGCTCTCCACATGGCCGAAGCAGCGACCGCTGACCATGGGCTGCAGGCACATCTTAACTGCAACAGGAGGCACATTTGAATTGACTGATGCCACATTGACAGACAGAGACTTACCACGTTTGGAGGCGCCATTGACCGGACCCAGCAGCAGCAGCAGTTGGAGCAGCATTAGCTGGATTAGCAGCCATTGCCAAGGCATTTCGCTGAGTTCCGTACAACCGACTCGTTCTTTGGCCAACAGCTCACTAAACGCTACGTCAATTGTTTGTTGTTTTTCAAATGTTTCTTTTTTTTTTTTGCTTAGCCAAGATTCAACATTGACCAATTTAAATGAAAAAGTGCTGAAAATATCGACCTTAACGACAGTTAGCTCACCTACTTCAATCAGCCTGTGCTTTTTTTAAACATTGCAAAACTTGTTTGCTGTAGCTTTGGCTTAGATCATCTATTTATTTTAAATACTAACCTTAAGATTAGATTTTAATAATGCTAAGATTGCATAAATTAGTCTATTAAATAAGAAAGAAAGTTTTCTTTTGTGACAATGCGCATATTCATACAAATACAATATATTAAATAAAAATATATAATGTATATAGCTGGCAATCGATTATAACAGCGTTTTGCATGAGGCTGTGGGGGAGGGAGGCTTGGGGTACATTAACTTTCGTTTTTGTCGAATGATCTTCTGCGCATTAATCAAATCGTTGTAAACAAAAACTATGATGAATATAAATAGGAGAGTTACAAGCTTTTAATTGCTTTATTTTACAGATTTTTTGTTTTTATTATTTTATTATTCCTGTTCTCAGAGTTCTCGGTATACAACAAAATATTTTTCGTTTTGCATTAATTAAAAATTGAGTTCAAAGGCGTATAGAAATAAACATTTGTAAATATTCACTTTAATAATATACATACATATACATCATATGAATAAGTGTAAGTGTTAACAATAATGTACTTTGTAAAATTCCAAAATGAGATAACATTGTTGACACATTCAAAACGTTGATTAAAAGATCATTGAATAAGATAAGTTAGGGCTTAGCATTTTTTAAATATTTTACTGAAACAACTTTAAACGCTGCTTGTTAAATTTCGGATTTTTATTTTCAGTTAGTAGAAAAATGTTGAGAGTTAATGACGTCTGCTTACACCCTGGGCTCTGATACCCTACGCTTAGTTCGTGCACAACTCAAAATGATGTAAGCATAATTATTTGGCTTCTTAAGCTAAGGTAAGAATGTTGGTACAGAAATTTGATTTAGCCTATGTTGCCTATCTATAGATATTTTTTATGTCGGTATTTACTGTTTCACAAATAGGATACTCGTAAAAATTCAACAAGAACGAATTAATATTCTGTATTTTTATTGGCTTTCTTTTAACTTCATTTTGTTATTAAATATATGAAATGTAAAGTTATCTATGTAGGCCTAACTTTCCCACCGATACCCTACATTCATAACACATATAACAAACGGCACCGGCGCTCACATGAAATGACGTAAAACTTTGCAGTGGCAACAAAAACATGTTCCGCATATCAATGACAACAGCAGCAGCGACAACAGCTTCAGATACAGATACAACAAATTGAAGTTGATTTTCAATACATGTGCAAAAATAGAGCCAGTGGAGCTGGACAGCAGCAAGTGGGCATTCAGCTTCGAGCTGTAGTTGTTTACGCACTGCTTCATGTATATGCTAATTGAGGTACAGATATAGATACATATACACGAATACAGAAACAGATACAGATACACTTGGGACTTAGCTATTCAGTTAAGGCGCACAGGCATCTGTGAGTAAGTTAATTGAATGAAGTAATGAATGCTGAGTCTATACACTTGCATGTCAGTTGCAACTTCTCAATTTGGGTCTGTGCCTAATTTAGTAATTAAACGCTGTTTTGGATGACGAGCGGCAACAATTAATGTGTCTCGCCTGGGCAGCATTTCAATTATTTCAAGCAAATTAAACAGTTAACTGAATTGTCACCACAGTACACACACACACACACACACTGAGAGAGAGAGAGACACATAGACATCATTTCGGCCATTCAATCAGCCAAATTTTCGTGCCACCCACGGCCCATGTGTGTGCCGAGTTCAGCTAATGAATAAATAGCACGACTGTTGACTGCACTTCTCATCATCATCATCATCATCATGATTACCAGCATAGTCAAGTGATAATTCAATTTGCCCTATACATTAGCACCTAACTAACGTTTTTGCCCAACCTTAGTCCGTTAGCCATGCCCACATCTTTAGCCTACATCAATCAGGCTAATTATTGCTTGGGCTAGACCCAACTGGTCTGCAACCTGTCCCAACTGCAAATGCAATTTTAATGAGCCTCAAGTCTTCGCACTTGCACTTACTCAAATTTAGTTGCTGTTTTCACCCACATGAGTTATTTAAAGGCAGATAATTCTTATGCAAATTTGTTGCCACACCAGAAAATTATCTTTGCTTGTAAAATATGACTCCTGGTATGTGGATATAGAAATTAATAGATACCTTTTCTACTAATGTTTATTGCATCATAAAATGTGTAACTTTGTTGACCAACAAATCAAGGCAAAATAATTTAATAGATCGGCAAACGATCGGAGCAAAGTAGTCTAATTTTGTAGGTTGTCGGTTGTAGTTATACCCTTCTATGTATTATTTGTATAGATTTTAAATTATATCTTTAATACAAAATTAAACTGGATAAAAGGTAACACAAGGTTTGTTTTCAATTATTTCTTGTTCAACATTGACCTGATAAAGTTCTTATCGCACCAGAAAGTCCAGTAAGTCAAAAAACAAAAAAAAAATTATTTTATATTATTTGACAAAAATTATTTTGAAATCGAATGTATTAACGTATATGATGGACATATCTAGCTAGCCTAAATATTGTTACAAGCTCTTGCTGAAGGGTATTCAAATGGTTACCTTCATCAGACTGATAGCTAGTAGATAGTCTAGCTGTGCCTTTATATTTCTATATATATGTTTTTATATTATATGGTCTATGTACAGATGCGTATGCCTGTGTATATAATTGTATGTATTAATACATAAAGTATAAATCTGACAATTAAGCTCGCTTGTGTTCAACACTTCGTATGCGCAATTTGAGTTAAACGCCTCGCTTAACAGCATTGACACACAGACACACACAATCGCACACGCACACCCAGCTCACTTATACTATATTATAATTTTCAAAAAAGCTCGTTAGACAGCTTTGAAAAAAATAGAAGATTCAGTTGTTGTTTGCAGCTATTAACGCGCAGTTATCGGTGATCACATTGAGAATGAAACGAACGACGAGAATGACCCAATTTCTGTGGCTTGCCGCTATTGTTTTACTCTGCCTTACACAAATGACCCAGGCGGTGACCACGCCCAAGCCCAAGGGGCTGGCACAGGCACCACAGGTGACCGCCGCCACCACGACCAGCACCACCTCAAAGCCCAAGCCAAACCAGCAACCACCACAACAACCACAGCGCACACAAGGTAAGGTCACGAAAATATATTTGAGCTGCATTTGATAGTTGCCAGTATCGATCCTCTCGACAGATGCGAAATGCCTGCAGCCACTGGAAACGGGACCCTGTCGAATGAGCCTGGAGCGCTATTACTACAATAAGGAGGCGAATGCCTGTCAGACATTCAAATATGGCGGCTGTAAAGGCAACGACAATCGTTGGGGCTTCCGACAGACCTGCGAGGAGGCCTGTCTGGTCAAGAAGTGACTTAAGTTCAACGAATCCACAATACTTTCATGGCCATTCTCCAAACATAGTAAATAAATTATCTATAAAAGAGTATACATTTTCTGAAAATTCTCAATATATGAAAATTCTCAATATATATAAACAATTTGACTCATATCACATTTCCAGCTGCTCCAATTTATGGTTATTTCAGAAAAATATTTTTTGACCAAATAGTAAATATAAATAGTAAAATATATAACCGAATACATTATATGGCAGTTGGGCCCCTTATAAATTTATAACATGTTTTTTAGATGGATATATCATGTTGCCAAAAAAGCACACAATAATATTATTTGTTGGGTCGAAAATAATTAAGCTGATTGTTATCAAGCATAAGAAATAATGTTACAATTTCTACTCACCTCGCATCCCTTGTGACTGTGCCAGTTGAAAAAGCATCAAAACATGTTTAGCTTTATTTTCGGAGAATTGCTTAGCGGGGCAGACGTCCAGTTTAAATAGTTAGCTGAACATTTTGTATTCACATGATTCTTTCAGTTTGTAGCCACTAATCACATCTTAAAACAAAGCATCACTGAAATTACATAGATTGCCAGGCCACACATGCATTTTTGAGAATCGCGGAGGAGGGCGGCTGTTGAGCTTAAATAGTTGCCTCTTCATAGCACTTTTAGTGTGCATCCACTGTTAATCACATAACAAAAATAAAAACTATAAATTACATTAAAATGCGCAGGCCCTACTTGAATTTTTGAGAATCGCAGAGGAGAGAAGTCGTTATATTCAAATTCTTTCTCTCTCTCTCTCTTTTTCTTTCTCTCTCTCTCTATTATATATAATTCTATATATTTCTATATTTCTATCCTATCAATTTCCTAAACACAGTCCCCTTTCTTTCTTTCTTATATACTTTCCTGTAGATATCCATCTCGCTCTCCCTCAATCTCTCTGTTTACTAATCTCCGTCCTACCGCTCCTCTTATAACTCTTGCCTCACTACTACGATTGTATTCAATAAATGGCTCAATAGCTCATGATTTCATATACATAATGGACTTTTTTAATAAATAATATTTGTTTGGGGATACTGATAGGCTGATCGGCACGCCTTGTTCCGTGACAGTATTTTAAAGTATCCAAAAAGTTAATCAAAACCAATTGTGGAACTTCCCACAGCTGTGCGGAAATAAACCAGCATATGATTTAGCCGTGCTGAACTATCATTACGCTTAGCAATATTAATAGGTGCGTTGAACTGCAACTGAGGCATTGGACGTCTAAAAACTGTCAACGAGACGAGACAAGAGGCGACGAGACGAGGTGTCGCGGCTTGTCGCCGTGATTTACATGCCTCGGCGAATGATTCGAGCAAATACAAAATGATAAAAAAAAACTACGGATACGTGCGGTCTTGGGCCAGAGTTGACTCACTTCGGGGGGCAGTTTGTTTGACTATTTAAGGCTGGTTAAGTATGAAAGCTGAAGTCATTCGCAGCAAAGAAACCGAAACGAAATGTGCTACAGGTTGTCCCTAATTGCGTTCAGTGTGCTGATCAGCATCGTGTGCGTGCAAAGCGCCGCGGTGGATCAGACGCAGCTGGTGGTGGAGAAACAGCAGCCTGAGGGCCAGACAACAGCTGATGACGTCGATGCGACCAGTGTGCCGGAGCAATGCTATCAGCCCAAGGAGACGGGTCGCTGTTTTGCACTCTTCTATCGCTTTGCCTACAATCTGGACACGCATGCCTGCGAAGAGTTCGTCTACGGCGGCTGCGCCGGCAACAGCAACAACTTTGAGACCAAAGAGCAGTGCGAGCAGCTCTGCCTGGGCAAATCAGCGCCATCAACCGCAGCTTCCGCGACAGAGCAGAGCACGGAACTGACTCCAGAGCAACAGCAAGCGGCAGAGACGACCACGAGCAGCGCCAATCAGCCCGCTTCGGATTAGTGGGAAGAACCCGGACACTGTCTATATATAGTACATAAGTAAAAAGCTAACACTCACAAATAAATTAATCACGCTCCCACTATACATACCCATATGTGTACAGATTTAATGTATTGACACATATACACTTAAGTACACAGCTCCAGGGGCGGACTCTAAAGTAAAGGGTCCCAGTATAAAAAAAAAAAATTTGATCTATACTTCTTAAATATAGTCTGAATAATACGAAAAATTAAGTACTCTTGCAGACAATACTATATTTTCAGCCGACTGTTGCTATATAAAGTAATCCGAATTGATAAGCATTGACAGATATATTGGGAGAAGCTCGAAATTGCTGAGCTTGGAGACAATATCTTAAACAAATAAAAAGTCTTCCATTTAGGAACTTTATTTTAGATTGATTTCGGATAGCAGTATATGACACAGTAGTTTCTGGTAAGATTTTGCTCAATTGTTAGCGGCATAGTAATGTTATAAACGGCCGATTGTAGGAAAATCAAACAAGAATGTTATTTCCTTCCGAACGTTCCTATTGTAACTTTATGATATGGTGGTAGAATCCGGTATATTCGAAATATTGTAATATTCTTAAAAAAGGCGCCTTAGATTGTTGAGCGCCGCCTTCCCTCCGTTCCTGCTTAGCTCCACCTATTTATTGAATTATTTGCAACCATTTGTTAATGAACTTTAACTTGACATATAAACAAACATACACACACACACACACACTGATAAGTTTCATTGAGCACGTAAGGCCATAGATAAGTATAAAACATCTGGCTCTGTAGCCAAATCTAGTTAGTCGCTCTACGAAAGCCCTAAATAAATCACAATTCTTCAAAATGAAATTCGCTGCTGTAATTTGCCTGCTCTTTGCACTGTTCGGCGTGTCCTTGGCTCTTAAGGATTGTAAGCATTAGGATGGTTTCTTAATGGATGATCCTCTTTTAACTTTTGCTTTGTCCTCAGCCATTTGTGGTCTGCCACCTGCAGCCGATGGCAACGGTTTGATCAAGTGCGCCGCTTTCATGCCTAGCTGGAGCTACTATCCTGAAGAAAATGCATGCAAGAAATTCATTTATGGCGGATGCGGAGGCAATGATAATCGGTTCGGCACTGAGGAGCTCTGCGCATCCAAGTGCGTGGAGTAAGATTGCAAAATGGAAACTTGTGCTGTGTCTTAATAAATAAATTCGTTGAATGAAATTTAAAAAGCCCACGCTGTTTGAGCTTGTAAGGTGTTCAATGAGATCATGATTGGTCTATACTGTTCTTTACTTATGCTGTGAAATATAGAGGTATTTGGGTGCACACGCTTTCGACTCATTATGGCACGGCACGGTATCCTTTCACCATCCCTCAAAAGCTAAGCTCCTGTGTGTAATCAAAATCCGCTCTCAACTATAACTATAAAAGAATAGATAGAAAGACTTTTGTATTTATTACCACAAGAAAAATGCATGCTTTAAATTTGATTATTAAAATTAGACACGAGTGAATCGAAGCTTGTTTCCGCTTGAAAAATAAAATGCAGATTTAAAATGAAAATATAGGTTCTTATCGCTTTAGTCAAAGTTTCCTAATTGCGGTTATAAGTTCTCAAATCTTAAAATAAAGCTGCATACGTGGTCAGTTCTTCACTTTTTAAACATGGTCAATACTAGAACCGGGAACACTCCTCAAATAAATTTAGTTTTTATCTCGATAATGCCCACAAAGACGGCTGCGGATTGAAATATGCTCAAGATGGACCACCTTATTGCCACAGGAACGTAATAAAATATTTTTATAATGCAGAGAAAAACAGATGCACACCTTTTATTTATGGTGGTTGCGGTGGAAATGCTAATCAATTAAGCAACCTAGAAGAGTGTGAGAATAATTGCCTTGTGAATATATTCTAACTAAATTTGTTAAACAAAATTGCGTGTAGAATTTTTTAGAATATACAAGATATAAAAAAAATATTCATAAGCTCCAATATTCTGCCGAGCATTATGTATTTAGTACAAATTAATTTAGTTCCGCCTTTTCATTTAATAATTCACAGTAATTAGTTTTTAAGTTTGTTTCTGATGTTATATTTTTTATTTCTATAAAAGTACTTTCTGCTCCTTTCATTCTTTGAATTTTCTTAGGGCGCTAAAGCATTTAAACATTCTCTAAGCTTTAACCGGTGATCCATTCTTATATTTTGCATTACCCTAAGATCTTTGTTATCAACTGCCTCCAGGTGACAATGGATGCCTTGCGTGCCTGTAAAGGTGCAGCTTCGATTTCATTCGCTTATCAAAGCTTTTTACAAACGTTTTGAATTACAAAATGAAATATCACTTTTACTTATTTTGAATCATTAAGCGTACTAATAATGTATTTAATTCTGGGAAATGAGTTTGTTTACTAACAGCTCGGGACTTTCCGAAAAAGATACTATAGCTAGACTCTGTGAAACCAAATTGGGTATTGTGCTTATTGAAAAGTAAACAATAAACAAGCAAATTGAGGCAACAATTCACATATTTACACTCTGTTCACAAGACGAACCGGGGTATATGGGCTTTGAGCGGTAACTGTCGCAATTTTTTTCGACACTCAAATTATTCAAGACTTCAAATGTTCAATATGCATATAACTATCGTTGCCTCCCATACAGTTTGTAAGTGACTATTCTACATTAAGAGAGTTACTGTTTAGCTGTTTTTGAACTGTGAACAGAGAAATATGCAGTCGGTTGCATTTAAGTGCATTATTTTCACTTATTGTTATGTATTTTCCACGCCAGATTTAAGATCTAGAGAAGTGACAAGAATTGCACCCAGGTGATTGAGTGTATTGTGACCGCGACACAATAAAGCTAGAATAATCCATTAAATTTGTACCTATTGTTGTTTTTCACTATAAGAGAGTATTTTAACTTTGTCATGAAACAAGTAATGCAACGAAACTGAAACCATTTCGTAGCAATTCAATAGAATTCGCGCTTTGTATGATTCTAAAAACTCGCTTAACTGGCAAAACTGGAAAGCATATTAAATTTTGAATAGATTTAAATGGGGTTATCGATGAAGATCTTAAACTTATTATATATTTTAGCTATAATTTGGGTCTTGTTTCTATTTACTTCCCCTTGAAATTTATTGTTTTAGTATTTTTCTTTACTCGAGCATGAGGTAAGAGTGTGCGATAAGACTGTCAAACAACGCTAAAAAAACGGAATATTTGTATAATAAATGCGAGTTCGACTTGTACACAGCTTAGTTGAAATTTGTCACTGATTTCATAGAGTTAACGTGCGAAGCGAAAAAAATAAATAAATAAAAATATTCAACATGAAGTTTTTTCTATTGCTTGTGATTGTTGCTGCCTTTTTGGCCAACTGCCTGGCCCTAAAAAATGGTGTGTAAACCAATGTGAAATACTCTTACAAAATAATGAACCAACTTTGAATTGTCCTTGCAGATATCTGCGGTCAGCCCCACTCACGTAATGGGGACGGAGTCGCCGTCTGCCTGGCCTATATGCCCAGATGGACCTACGATGCGGCGGCCAATGAGTGCATTAAATTCATCTATGGAGGCTGTGGAGGCAATAAGAACCAGTTTCCCGACCAGGAAAAATGCGAGGCAGCCTGCCTTGAATGAGTTTTGATATTGTAATATTTTATGTGCATTCTAATAAAGCATCAATGAGTTCCAAAATGCCGAAACTATCAACAAAAAAAACTAACCATGGATTATTTTATTCTGAATGGGGTTGAGGTTGATGAAACTTCTCCAAATATTTTGATAAAAAATACAGAAGAACTGAATTGCTTCGTTGGGTCAGGGCTTGAGTTATTTGTTTCTATTTAATTTATAGCCTGATTTTTCCCACATATAAACCCATAGAAAATGATATTTAATAAAAATGCAAATTCTGCAATCGTCTTTTATATTGATGTAGGCTTGCTTCCATTAAATTCTGTCCAATGTCATTTTAAGAAAATAAAACCTATATTTTAATAAATAGTTCGGGTTTCGGGCTCTGAGCAACTGCTTTGGCTCAAGGTTCGTTGCAAGGTTCGCCTAACACTTAATATTAAAATTTCTGGTCCAAACTGGTTGGGTCATATGGCCTACGTCATGAATCTCAGAAAGAGAAATGTTTACACTCGAGTGAGAAGAATAGCATGTGTGTATTAAGCAATCGCAACTGAACTGAAAAGTTCCCCTTTTTAATACGTTGACTTAATCATATTGCTAAACATTGAAAACAAATATTTACCAATACTATAACAACAAACTTCGGAATAATTTTATTCTGTAGTCAAAGGTTTCGACAGTCGAGGCATTGCGATAAGACGGCTCAGCAGAGCTCTAGAAATGTATTTAATATTGTGAGCTTGAGTTTTGTGGTCTTTAGTTGAAATTTCTCACTGGTCGCATTCAGTTCTCATCTCAGTTACTAAAATAAAAAAGTTATCATGAAGCTTTTGGTATTGTGTGTAATGCTCATTGGGTTGATTGTCAGCTGCTTTGCATTAAAAAATGGTGTGTTTTCAATTTCAAATATTTTCCCAAAGATCACTTTCTTATTTGATATGTGTTCATAGATGTGTGCAGTCAGCCCCATTCCCGAAATGGCGATGGACGAATTTCATGTGAAGCTTATATACCCAGGTGGAGCTTCGATGCGAATGCTAACGAATGCGTTAAATTCATCTATGGAGGCTGTGGAGGCAATGACAATAGCTTTGACACCAAGGAGATCTGTGAGGAGAAGTGCTTGGAATAAACGGCTATGACTCACTGAATGATAGTTCAACATAGAATGACAAGAATCCAACTTAATATAATACAGTTTTTAAACGCCTTTCTGCTCTTATTTCATTAAGAGATCTTTGATTTAAAAGCTTAAAAAACCTTTACCCTATACCTATGTACCCTTAGATATCTTGTAAAGACATATATCAAACTTCCCCACCCTATATACAACTTGGTCAAATCTCATATACATAAATATATATATTATACTTATATTTGTAAAAACGTACTTACCTGCACCATGGTAATATCCTCATCTATCAGTAGGCGAAGGACGACATATCTTTTTAACACACTGAAAGAACAGAAAAGCAGAGATTATATTGATGTGTATTAGTTGTAAATATAATAAGACGTAGTTGTTATTACTTACTACTTACTTACTTTTTTGAAACGCCAAATTTAAAATTCATATTGCCTCCTCAGCCACAGCCATCACTTCGTCCATAGTTGAATCCGCCTTCTCCAATTTTAACGCAGTCAATTGTTTAGACCGCCGTTTCCTGCTTTACTTTAGCTGCCAGCTTATCCAATATTAAAGCCGCCGCCTCCTCTATTGCTGAAGCCTCCGTATCCTCTAGAGATAAAGCTGCCGCTTCCTCCATTAATGCTGCCGCGTCCATTGAAGCCGACTCCTCCATTAAAGCCGCGATTCTATATTTGGAGGCACCGTCTCCTGGAATACTTAATACCGCGCCTCCTCTATTGCTGGAGCTGCTGTCTCCTCCATCGCTGAGGCTGCCGCCTCCTGTACAGTTGAAGCCGCATCCTGCATAGTTGAAGAAGCCGCCTCCTGCATAGTCGAAGTAGCCGCCTCCTGCACAGCTGATCTCCTGCATAGTCGAAGCCTCCTCCTGCATAGTTGAAGCCGCCTCCTCCTCCATAGTTGAAGTCGCCGCCTCCTGCATAGTCGAAGCCGCCTCCTCCTCCATAGTTGAAGTCGCCGTCTCCTGCATAGTTGAAGCCGCCTCCTCTACTCGAAGTCAGGCTTACTTAAATTTATGAGAATCGAGTAGAAGGGACTTAGTTAGAATATGTTTTTTTTAATTTGCAGCGCAGCTAGGGTAAACTTGATCTAGCATTCAATGCATTATATATGCATATATATGCATATATATATATATATAGACACGTATACACACACTTGCATATATACATGAAAGCATACATACATTCTTCTAGACATACAGACATTTATAAAAACATAGTTACATGCACACTTATATATTTACATATATGTATATGCATAAGCACATACATACATACTACTTAATACAAATATATATCAATAAAAACGCACATTTATACACACATACATACACACAAAAATCTATACTTACATAAATACACTCAAACATATATACATACTAATACTTACAAACATACATGTACACCTACGTATATGCATGCATTCATACAAATGTACACACTTGCATACACACACTTATATGTATGTCCATACATACATGAATACATACATATATACATACATACATATATACATACATACATACATACATACATACATACATACATACATACATACATACATACATACATACATACATACAAACATACTAACATACATATATACATATTAGAAAACAAACATGTATGCATATATATATAAATATACATAAACAAGCCTACGCAGACAATCACACATAAAAACATACACACACATGCGCATTTAAAGTACTGCACATATACAATACCTAAACGGTGTATTCTCGCCAGGCACAGAACGAGTTAATCATTTTCGCTTTTCGATATCGCCTTCCATTTTCAGAGTATCGATAAATATCGATTTTATGACTTGGTTCATAAAGCATAGAGGTTTACTTATTTTAAGAAATACATATACCAATCAGTGGGTATATTGTATATTCTGATTTAGAATATTTCAACCACATCATGTCTAATTATTTAATTGGACGCGGGTGTGTGAAGTGTTGTTAAACAGATTAACACAGCATTGTATGTTGTAGACACTGTAAGTTCTGATTCTTAATTCTTAGAATGAAGTTGTGTTTCCTGTTTATAGTACTTGCTGCATTGGTTGCCAGCTCTGTAGCTAAGCAAAATGGTAGATAGCAAACAAAATAAATTGATCTGCAAGTAACACTTAGTTGTTAACCTTTTGTACCACGCAGTGACATGCGGATTGCCAATTGCCTTTAACGAAAAAAAGCCCTGCAAGGGAAAAGAACTAGCTTGGTCTTATGATTGGATAACCAAGAAATGCGTTCCGTTCGTCCATAAAGGTTGCCGCGGAAATCGAAATCAATTTAAAAAGAGAAAGGAATGTGCGAAAAAGTGCGAGGTTGTACAGAATAAACTTACAACCACCGTGAAACCAAAAAAAGGCTAATCGACATCACATGCACATATATATTGCTCATAGATATCAATAAATAACATATATATGACAGAAGCCGAAATACACAAGATGTGCATGTCTATTAACTGCAAGCTTATCATAACGTTAACCATGTTAAATGAATCTGCCTGATAAAAGTTGCGAGGCACTTTATGAGCAATAAATTCAATTTTGTCATTTTTAAAGGTACATTTTAATAAAATCGAATTAGAAATATATTGAAATGAGCATGAGCAAACCCAAAAATCTTGGGATATTTATTGTCGTAGCAATTGCCATTTACTTTACAATGAAGCCGATAAGACGCAACACAAATTATCCTCTTGTTATTTCAAAGTCTATGACAGCCAACACGAATTTTGCAATAAGCATTAAAAAGTGGTCTTCACTATTCATCATTTTTCAACATATTTATTGTTTTATAAGTTGCTATATAGTACTCCGATTATCTCAATTTAATATAAATATATATATATATACTCGGAAGCATCATTACGGTTATCGGTGTGGACTTTCTATATTGACCCATTGCGTTCTGCTCTGATGCCGCCTAAGCACTGCACAGATAAGACACACTTCTTTTGAACTTCTTCAGAACCTATATGTATTCTGGTTTAAATAGCGCCGATGTGGTCAGCAGCAGTTGCAGTCTCATTGCAATTATGAAGTACGAGTATTTGTTGCCTACAGCAATTGGATTGCTGTTGTGCCTCTCCAGTGTGCACGCCAAGCCAGGTGAGTGAAGTGCTGGAACTTTAAGGAATTGGTACCGACTGGACTTAATATTCCCCTTGCTAGAGATGTGCAATGAGCAGCACTCGATGTCGGGCATGGCACAGGATGGTGCAGCCTGCATGGCCTACATGCCCAGCTGGACCTACGATGCCGCCAAGAATGCCTGCGTCGAATTTGTATTTGGTGGCTGCGGTGGCAATAAAAATCAATTTGGCAGCCAAGGTGAATGCGAGACGGCCTGCAAGGACTAAGTTGGAAGCACACCGTCAAAACCAGTCTCAAGTGCTGGTAAAACCCAGCGCAAAGCCGAATAAACAATAACAAAGAAAAGAAGAAAATATATAATTATAAAAAAAACGACGAAGCTTGTTTTGTAAAATAAATACAAATCTTTCTATAGTTTTCAAGGTTTGTTGTTGTTTTTGTTGCTGTTTTTGCAAGAGAGAGAGCTCATCTTGACCCAGAGATAAACCTACAGCCGGTTTCTGCCTATATAACGAGCCCCACATGCCGGCAACCAGATCAGTTGCAACCGACGCAGTGCCCAAACATCAGTTTTATATTTATTGCGATTTTTTTTTGTATCAGCTCGAATTCAAGATGAAATATTTCGCTGTGCTGCTGTTGCTCTGCACGCTGCTTGGTGCTGCGCTGGCCACACTTAAGAATCGTAAGTTTTCAAACCGCCCTCGCTGCACTCCTTGATCCTCACTCTGTGATCCTCTGTATTTAGCTGCCTGCGGTGAGGAGTTCGGCAAAATAGGCAATTGTCGCGCCCAGAAGTCGAAGTGGACCTATCGCCGGGACACCAATGAATGCATCAATTTCACCTACGGCGGCTGCCAAGGCAACAACAATCTCTTCGACACGAAGAACTTGTGCGAGCAGACCTGCAAAGTTTAAATGATGCTTGTTTTGCTTTATAATTAATAAATAAATATATATAAAATAACTTAATTGAGAATTATGTGTTTTCTAATTTCGTAATAGGTATATTCATTTATTGTTTTTTTAATTAACTTGTTAAACTTTAATTAACTGGATTTTATTCATTGCTCTTTTTTGTATTATTTAGATATTTGCTGACTTAAATAATGTTTTGTTGTTGGTTCAATCTGTTCTTCTATACTCTTTCTGGCTGCTGTAGGTTTTCAGTGAAATAATCTACTTATTTGTTTTCGCTATTTGTTAGCTATCTGCTCTTTTATACATGAGTATATATTTTTATATTATTATTATGCATATGTTCTTTTATTGATATTTTATAACCATTCGAAGGGGCACTCTGTCAGCGAAAATGTGAGCACTATTTCAAAGAAATGCTATTGCATCGCAGATTATGAGGGTACAGCTCAGTTGACTCTTCCTGCTAGCTCTATTTTTAAAATTGCACAATATAATGAATATATGTTACTTAAAGAGAAATATAAGAAAGCCTTCAAATTCTATACAATTTTATAAAATATAAAAAATTAAAAAGAAATTAAAAACATTTAGTCAGACATAGAAATCCGTTTAACTGACCGCTCCCTCTCTCTCTCTTCCTCTCTTCCTCTCTTGCTCTCTCTACATCCTTTTCTTATTCTCCCTCTCTTTCTCTCGCGCTCTACCTCTCTCTGTTCTCTAGGTGCACGCTAATTAAACTTAATCCTTATGGTGTTTTTTCCTTTTCTCGCTCTTACTTGCCCTCTCTCTCTCATTCTCCCTCTCTTTCGATTCTCCCGCTAATCTCAAACTGAACTCTCTGCTTAGATTTTTAGCTGAATGCCCCCAACAAGTCGCTAAATGTCTAGCTAACTAATCTAAAAGTATTTTAGATGTGTGTATTGCCCTCTAGCTGCGTAAATCTAATGCTTAAATGGTAAATCCGCCACATATATTATGTTTATATATATATATATATATATAGTTTTTATAATCTAGAATGATTAATTTCATTTAATTATTCCACACACTGCATGCTCCCTTTATTCGGTTTTGGTGAGCAGCGCGTTGCCATTAACAGCGGCCGTTGCCGGCGGCGAATCCGGACGCACTGCAGCCGATGATGGCAACTGCTGCTGCGACTGCAGCTGAGTGGGCGTGGTCGGAGGCGACAGAGTGGCATGGTGTTGCTGCTGCTGCTGTTGCTGCTGATGCAGTTGCTGTTGCTGCTGCTGATGGTGATGATATGCCGCTGCCGACTCGGCCAGATCGAGCAGAGCTGCCGATGTGGAGCTTGTGGCTGTGCCGGCCGCCGGGCCCAGGCCATTCATTGTGCTGGCCGTCATGTCCTGTGCCTCATGCTTGAGGCGCAGCGGATTATTATTGTTGTTATTGTTGTTGTGATTAACGGCATGCCCCAGCGCCGGATGATGGGCAAATGAAAGTGGCGGCAAGTGCAGGCCCGGAAACGCCAAGCCGGCCGCAGCTGCGGCATGCAGGGACTGGAGCAGCGCTGCCGAATGCTCCTGTGCCTTGCGCCGCAGCTCGGCCACCGAATTGGAGCGTGGATCATGCGAACCACCGCCACTCGACTTGGGCGACTCCGGCGAGCTGGCCGCCGAGCTGCTGCTTACCGGCACGCTCAGAGGCGCCATAACCGAGGTCGAGGCAGACGACGACGGTGGCAGCGGCGGCGGCTTCAGAGAGCAGCACGAACAGAGACTTTGAAAGGGCGACACACCTGAGAAAAAGTTGAAAGATGAATTGTATTATCAATTTTCAAATTTGTTTTGATGTCGATACATCATCTTTGGGCTGGCAACAGCTGCTAATTTGATTAGCAATTGCTTTTGATTTTGATTTTTTCTAACTTGTGCGCATTGATTGACAGCCCATCGATGGAGATTATGCCATTAGTCCACCCACCTTTGAGGCCCGGAAAAAGCGGCTGGTGCGTAAACTGAGCCGCCAGATGCGGCGGCAGGAAAAGCGGTGGATGATTGGCGCTGCGCTGAGCCGCTGCGGCGGCGGCTGCTGCTGCTGCTGCCACAGAGTTCTGGTCGCTGAGTACCGGACGAAAGCCGCAATTACTGCAAACGAAGAAAAAATAGCTGTTAATATAGATTTAGATATGATAATACTTAAGACTATACTTTTTACAAGGCACAAAGTTGTTATAAGAAAACACAGAGTATTCGACGATAATTTGGAATTAAGATCCTCATATTTAAAACACAGGAGGGTATCATACTCTGTTGGAAAAAAATAACGAACCATTTTCTATGTATTTGTAGATTATGTGGGCAGATTAATTATTAGGTAAAATTGTAATGGCATTGTAATTTAATAAAATCGACTGTAAACGAGCATGTTCTCTGTTATCAAACTCCTTACTGCGCAAATGCCTTACTATGTGATTCTCATGAATTCAAAAAGGGCTTATCCTGAAGCCAGGAGTCTCCTTGCCGACAAAAGACGTCTAAGGAGGCTGTACATCCGCAACGGAGACCTCTCTACCAAGGCAGAAATGGTAAGCGCGTCCAACCGGCTCAGACGACTGCTGGCTAGGACTCGAACGGAAAATCTAGACAGCTTCCTCGAAACAACTGGGCATGACGGCAACAGCACCTTTTCAGTGTGGAAGCTCACCAGAAGCATTAAGAGGCAACCAGTTTTTACCTCCCCGATCACGGACCACTCTGGCCTCTGGCTCCGATCGGACGAGGAAAAGGCCAACGCGTTTGCTGACTACTTGGAGACAACCTTCAAGCCATTCGACTTCGCAGATGTTGCACAGCGCCGTAAAGTAGCCGAGTCACTGGACGCTCCACTGCAGATGGCTCTCCCGATAAGAAGCATCTCCCCCGCGGAAATCGGGACACAGCTGAAAATGCTTGAGCTAAAGAAGACCCCAGGATGCGACGAAATCGACAACAGAGCAGCTAAGGCTCTCCCACGCAAAGGAGTCATGGCGCTCGCCACAATTTTCAACTCCATGCTCCGCCTTGGCCACTTTCCGAAGCAATGGAAACATGCGAAAATTGTGATGATCGCCAAACCCGGTAAGCCGCTAACTCAACTTGAGTCCTACCGCCCTATAAGCCTTCTGCCGACGCTCTCAAAAGTCTTTGAGCGACTTCTGCTAAGCCGTCTCTTAGAACTCGACGAGGTCACGCGCCTGGTCCCGGATCATCAGTTTGGCTTCAGAAAGTCTCACGGCTGCCCCGAGCAGGTCCACCGGGCAGTAAAACACGTACTAGAAGCTTTTGAGCAGAAGCAATACTGCGTCGGCGTTTTCCTCGATGTCAAACAAGCGTTTGACAAGGTCTGGCACGATGGTCTTCTGTTCAAGATCAAACTGATACTCCCAGCGCCATACTTCAGCATCCTTAGCTCCTTTCTGGCAGGACGCACCTTTAATGTGGCCGTTAAAGACCAAAGGTCGGCAATTAAGGGCATCAGAGCAGGTGTCCCACAAGGCAGCGTCCTCGGTCCGATGCTGTACACGCTGTATACGGCGGACCTGCCCACACAAGGGCAAAGCAATGAAGACCTCAGCCCTGCGAGACTGCTGGTGGCAACATATGCGGACGACACTGCCTTCCTAGCCTCCCACAAAAATCTGCAAGCTGCTACAAGTGCAGTGCAGGACTGGCTGCTGCAGATCGAAACCTGGACAGCTATGTGGAACATCGCTATAAACTGTGCCAAGTCCGCCTGCGTCACTTTTACGCTGCGCCCATACAGCTGCCAGGGGCTACGGTTCGATGGAGGAACCATTGAGCAGACCAACTCTTTCCGCTACTTGGGTGTCCACCTGGATCGAAGGCTCATATGGGGGCCTCACATCGCAGCAACGAGAGCAAAATGCCTGAGAAGACTTCAAAAGCTCGATTGGCTACTAAAGCCTCAAAGCAAGCTGCACATATCCACGAAGACACTGCTTATCAAAACGATGGTAACGCCTATCTGGACATATGCGATCCAAGTTTGGGGCACGGCATCAGCACACCAGCTCCGTCGCATAAGAGTGGTCCAAGCCAAGGCAGCACGCAAGGTTGCTGGCCTGCCATGGTACGTAACAACAGACGCCATCGAACGCGATCTCCGCCTAACAAAGGTCGGAGATCAGCTCAACTTCTTCAGCAGCCGATACTCCGACAAATTGGTGCAGCATCCGAACGCGGCCGCAAGGGCCCTGGCTGAGCCCATCAGTGAGAGGCGCCTCCGAAGGCTACACCCCGACGACCTACCAACGGCACATCACTTAAACATCCCTTTCCCATTATTGTTATATATTTTTAAGTCTGTAATTATCATTTAAGTTATTAAATAATAACTATACACTATACCCTTAACTCCGCTTGGTAGAGATCAGAAGGCACTGATCGATTCCAGCGCAAAAAAAAAAAAAAAAAAAAAAAAAAAAAAAAAAAAAAAAAGGGCTTACCGGTTTTCATGCACTTATAAGTGTTATATGAACAAGCTGTGTCAAGTTTTATGGATAAATATCATCACATAATGTGCTAATTAGCAATGGTTAAAAAGTAGTTTGACAGAGCGCAACAAATCTATTTAAAATGCAAAATCAAATTTGCAGCAGTTTAATTTAGCTTCAACACTGGTGGGTTCAACTTGTCGCGAATCTTGCAATGAAGCTGATTCTTATATTTTCGCTAATCGCTACAGTCTTTGTTTTATTTCTTATTTTATTTTTATTTCTCTTAACGGGCAACAGTGTTGGCCCTAAGAATGGTGGGTTCGTAAAATTAATGTATATTCTTTATAATAATTTTCATTGTTAATTTCTCAGCAGCGTGCCACTTGCCACATTCGGTAGATGGATACAAAGATGGAACAGTCTGTGGGAGAATGCGAGAAAACTGGTCCTACGATTCGGTGACCAAAACATGTATTATGTTCATTTACGGAGGCTGCGGTGGCAATGATAATAATTTCAACACGTTTAAGGAATGTAAAGACACGTGCCTAAGCTGAACGGCTGATACTTTTCTAATATATTAAAATCTAGCAATAAAGTAAAATAAGCATTGAGAACACAGCTATATTCGAGTTTTGTCTTATGTCATACTTCTTAACAGCCGTTTCATATTCAATTAATACATAGTCAAATCGTAATTGAAATATGAAGTAAAATAGTTTACTGCAAGGGTGGCTCTTGCTTAATGGTTCTTGACAGTAGACTTAGGTATACCCTTTACGTTTTCCATTTGTTATTCCTTTTTGAATACAAACTCATTTACATAAAATGTTCACTAACTTTGCAAATATGATTATTTTTAAGAATCCTAAGTGTATCATAAATTAAGGTCAATTAAGTACAGTTACTTAAGTAGTCAAAATCTTGAGATCATAAAGGATTGCTTGATATTTTTCATTAACATGAACACAAAGAAAATATTGAGGCTTCTTCTTTTCTAGACATGCTTTAATAGAGTTTCTTAGTGCGAAGCATATTGTATCTCATGTCAATCGCTGTTGACTATCCCAGCAATGGGAAAGTTGTGACCGCTCTGGCCTTTCAACTTTCCCCATGCATTTCACAATTCCACTGTGACAATCTAGATGGATATGTATACAAGCTTCGCTTTAATAACACCCAACACATAAACAGACAAACAACAACAAACGCAGCTTTTAATTAACGCTTAATTGAAATAAATTAAAACATTTTTATGCGTAATTGCATTATTATTAATAAACCTAAATATTTTGTATATGTAAAAAGCGGCAGCTGTTGTCACTTGTTGTTTTTGTTGTTGTTGTTGTTGTTGTTGTTGTCTAGGCCCCTACTCGGTTTAATTGAATGAAATATAACGCTTAGGTCGCATACCATACCATACTTCCATTCGTAAAGTCCCCGAGCAAACAGTTAATGCAATTTAAACAATTTTAATTGATAAGCGAGCCAACAATTTTTAGGAACAAAAAAAAAACGCTTATGTAAGCATGGTATAGATAAATTATATGCCTGGCATAATCCATTAATAAAATTATCATATTTTGTATTATTCATAATTGTTGGATATTATTGGTGTTTTTTGTTCATGTACTCATAACCAAATAAATTCAATGACATAAACGAGTTTCTATGCGCAAAAAAAGACGAGGAAATGTTAATAGAAAAAAAAATTCAATTTCCATTTATTTCAATTTGCGTTAAGCTTTTTAGCGTTTAGTCCATTTGAATATAGTCCTGTGGGACTTTTGGAGCTGAAGCTGGATGCAAATGTGTCCAAAATTTAATAACTCTTAGTGCGCGGCCTAACTCGACGCGAGGGGAGTAGTGAGGTGTATGCGTATGTAGCTGCCACAAGCAGGGGAACAAATCTCTGAATGCTAATCGAGTTGCGGGTGGGATGCTGGCCAGGACGAGCCGACCGAATGTCGCGACCACAGCCACTGGGCCACAGTCGTCGCGGCTGTTGCTTTTAATTCTTTTCACTTTTTTCCACTCTAAACTTGACGGTTTTTTGGCTTTTGCCTTTGCGTTTGCCACTGCCTACCCCCCGTTCACGCGCCATGCTTTTGTCCTAATTCAGAGCTGCGTTGCGCCTGTCCTGATTTCAGGAGATTTCAGGAGTTGAACACACTATTTGGCCGCTTGAAACAGAATTTTGTATACGGCGAATGTGTAATTTTTTGTTGTTTTATTTTTCCTCCGTTTTGCCCATTTATTTTCATGTAAACTTTATGAATTTTTCAAAGAATTGTAAGCTATTTTTAAAATGATTTAAAAAACATTAGATTAGGGCGAACCTTTTGGAGCGAGAGCTGAGGCTAAAGGAAAGCTTAGCTAACAGATAAAAGAGTGTGGAAATTGTCAGTCAATATTAAGAAAACTTAAGGTGTCTTTAAAAATGTAAATAATTTAAAATTACTTTTAAATTATATTATCATATTATTTTCTATATATTATATTAAATTTGGAGTTCTTTGTTCTATTTCTTTCCGAGCTAAGCTCCTTTTTATATTTATCTGTTAAGCATATATATAACACGTATATGTTCCATAATTTCATTAACAACTTGATACTTTTCACACAAAAATGACAGCCCAATTAGGCCCAAAGGCAAAAGGGAAAATCAAAAGTCCGAGCTCAACGAGAAGAGTTGGCAAACAGAGACTCTTGGAAGTGCTCTCTTACTAGCAGTATTTATAGTTCCAGTTCCATTTTGAGTCCCAGTCTGTGTCTGAGTCTCAGTTGTAGCGAAAAAAGCAGTAAACTTAAATGTTTGCGTATAATTAAGCACTCATCCTTTGGTCGTAATTAAATTTTGCATGTGCACATCCAACAGCTGCCGTTGTGGCGCCAGCTACAGTCGGTGCCGGTGACGGGCGGACGCGCGTTAGGGTTAGGGGCTGGGCAATGGGTGGGCTGTGTGCTCTGTCTGAGACTGGCAAAAATGTTGCAGCATCAACGACGTTTGCCGCAGGCGACACATCAAGCGGGCGCGCGGTGCTGTTTGACAGGGCCCCGCCCACACGGCTACCGCCGCCCTAATTGCAACACTCAAGAGCAGGCCCAGCTCTCCGACTGACGGCACTCGCACTCCAAATTAAGACATTCAGCAGCTCGAGTGTTGTCGTTGAGCTCGTTAGTTAGTACATAACTTTTGCTGTGGGCCAACTGGCGCAAGGCTGGGCCGTAGGGGTTAGCGGCGGCTGGGGGGTGGGCAGACTTGTGCGTTTGTCAATGTCAGACAGAGCGCGTAGCATGCTCACCTAGCGCACAAAAGTTTTCTTTAAATTTTCGCACTTTTCACAGATTGCCGTTGCCAAGGAGAAACTTTTACCGACTTGGCTTAATGAATTTTTACACATGTTGCCCGCGCTCCGACAATGCTCGCAACACCCCCCAAACTCCCCGCTTCTGTGCACATAATTTTTCTGGCAAACATTTTAATGCTTTACGCAATTCTAACAAATTAAACTCGAGCAATCAACACCTCAACGGCTTAGCGGGCAACGCACCGCGCTAACCCCCATTTTAGCGAGCGCCAAACCCAATTTCCGCAAAATGTTTGCACTAGCGAAAGTCTGTGTTCTTTTTAATACCCTGCACCCATTAAACATGAACAAAAGGGGTATAATAATACATATTACATATACCCTATTATATATACATATACATATGTATGTCCTCCAAACATTGATGTCGCTTTTTAGCTTTAAAAGCTAGGACTTGGCTCTGGAGCAGAAAGCAATTGGCTAGAATTTTGCAACTTCGCCTTATCCAGACTGCAATTTAGTTCAGAGCCAAACTGGTTTGAACCTTCAATATCTCTTTTTATATACCATGAATCGACCCTTGAGCCTGATAAGCTCGAAGATTAAGTCTTTTCTTTTTTAACGGGTTGGTCTTAAAAATCAGTTTCGAAAACCTTATTAGGTTTCATGGTGTGCCAAGTGGCAGATGGAAGAAAACAAAGCGATAAATTGCGTGTTTATATGGCTACTTAACTTAGAGTACAGGGTATTTCATGGGCAAGCACTCTTTACTGGCGCAATGTGACTGCTTTTTATTGGCGCTATCCTTGGCTGAAATTGTTTTCTACTTCCTACCCGAGCTGGCAGCTAAAGCGAGAGCTCTGAACATTATATGCTTATTATATTAGGCAACCCAAGGTCTTCGTTGGAGCTGTTTGGGTAGGAGGAGGGATTCTGTTGGTTGGTTGTTTGGCTGTTTGCTGTGCGCGAGTCAGCGGCTTATTTTAATTGCATGATGAATATTAAAATATTTGCTTAATTTATTATTCAAGCATTCGTGCGCGCAAACATCACAAATGCGCTTACATACATGTCGGTAAATATGTATACACATTATATGCTTAAGTATATAGCTGGCATATAGCTTGGGTACATCATTTGATTTTTGGCCTCCACCTGGGCATGCGGCTGTTTACATGTTTAAGTAGCTCAGATTTTACATGCCTCGGCGTCTAATTACGTATTTAGTTAGTTGTGCATACAATATTTGGCAATTCTGTTTCAAATTTTTTGGCAAATATTTTCACATTTTGGTTAGCTATTTAATTACCCCAGTTTTCTGTAACCAGCCAAAAGGGATTAGAAATTGGGCACAGGTGCAAAATGCTACGGTCTGGAAATTGTTTTTCAACAACAAATTGAAAGAAGCGAAATGTTTTTTTTAGTAGACAAAATAAGTTTCCAATTACATAAATATGATCGGAATGCTTTTAAAAAGAGCCACAGAATTATTAAGCCACAAGTTACTTATTTAATTATCCCAATTAGTTCCATAGTCCATAAAAGGGAGCGAAATCATAGATAAAGCAATATCAGCCGATATTTAAATGTCAAGTTGGCAACTAAAGCGGCAAATTACAATTTGTTTAGCTATATGTTTACCTAACAAATGACAAATTGCCAAGAGTAAAGCGAAATCTAAAAAAGAATCATCCCCGACATTTTTCAAATGCGTAAATTCCTCAGCGCCCAGAGAGCATCCAAAGAATGGAAAAAGCAGGCACCTTAGGCAACAAATCTAGCGAGGACCATAAAGGACTTCCGAAGAAACATTAAATAGAATAAAATAACACACTGCTTTAAGCGATTTCTAAGTCACATTAAAACATTAAAACTAATTAGTGTGAACTATTAAATAAAAAGGCGAAACTAAACTGGCTTATACAATGTTTATAACGCTGAAAAAGACTGGAGGGATTAGTAATATTTCATTTAATATCTTAGCCCGATGGAATATTCTTAAAAATTCTATAAGCAATTTTGGCTAACAGTCAGAAGATGTTAACCTATCATGCTTTCTACATTAGGTATTTATTCCAGGCACTTGTCCTCACAGTCCTTTTGGCTTAAAAAGCGATTAGCATTTCCACCGCAGCCTCCATACATAAACCCTGAGCATTTTTTGACCGCTGTATCATAGGACCATAACTTTTTCAAAAACAAGCAGTATCTTCCGTCATCAAAGCCATTTTTAGCATGTGGCAATCCGCAGTCCTCTTTGTTGGAAATAACGAGAAAAAAGCTGAGCTTACTTGAAGTCTGTTCCAGTTTATAATACTGACCATGTTTAAGAGCTGAAGAACTGGACACGTATACAGCGAGAAACAAAAAATATAAAATCAGCTTCATTCTAAGATTTGAGAACTTGTAGCTACAATAGACAAGCGTTGACTGAAGCAAGGAAAAACAATATTTAGAGTTTCAATATGTGTTGGGTTTTTCATCCGGAAAAAAAGCGCCGATTTATTTGTGTCTAATTTAATAATCAAATTTATTAATGAAATTATTGTGTGAGTATTAGGTAGAGTGTAATCTTTCTATCAAGACTCACCTTGGCAGGGAGGCAAGGCATTTATTGCCAACTGTTGGCGGTAGAGTAATGTACTATAAGGCGAAATTTAAGAAAGAATCATCAAATTTAAATTTTTCAAATGATTAAATTCCTCAACGCCAAAAAAGGACTTCTGTAGAACGGAACACAATGATTTATGCGATGTATAAGCCTCATAAGAAATTTATAACTAAAGTGTGAAATATTAAATTAAACGGCGCAACTGAATTGATTTACACAAAGAATATAACGCTGGGGAAGTCTTGAGAGATTATCAATATATTGTGTAATATCCTGGCCCGATTGCATATTCTGCACAATTGTTTAAGCAATTTTCGCTAACATAATAAGTTAGATCATATTGACCTATCATGATCAATTTTTGGGTATTCACTCCAGGCACTTGTCCTCACAATCTTTTCGGCTCAAAAAACTATTAGCGTTTCCCCCGCAGCCTCCATAAATAAACATTGCGCATTGTTTGGTCACAGTATTATAGGACCATCTTTCGTAGTAAGCCATGCACATGAATCCACCAGAAGTTCCTTGTTTAGTATGTGGCAATCCGCACACCTCTATGTTGATAATAACGTGATAACTTGAAGTTTGTTCCAGTTTCTAATACTGACCATGTTTAAGAGCTGAAGAACTGGACACGTATGCAGCGAGAACCAAAAAATATAAAATCAGCTTCATTCTAAGATTTGAGAACTTGTAGCTACAATAGACAAACATTGACTAAAGCGGGGATAAACTTTATTTAATGTTTAAATCTGTGTTGGATTTTTCATCCGGAAAACAAGCCCCGATTCACTCGTGTCTAATTTTAATAATCAAATTTATTGATTTCTCGTGTGATTCTTAAGTAGAGTGTATATAAATGATTTTCTACCAAGAATCAGCAAATTGACATTTTTCAAATGCTTAACTTCCTCATCGCCTTTCGAAAATCTGAAATATGGAAGGCGCATCCAATTTAAAGAGGACCAAGAAGGCCTTCTGTAGAACGTAACAAAATGATTTATGCGATGTCTAAGTCTCATAAGAACTTTATAACTAAAGTGTGAAACATTAAATTAAATTAAATTAATAAGTTTAACTGAATTGATATGTACAGTAAACATAACGCTAGGGAAGTCTTTAGGGATTATCAATATATTGTTTAATATTCTGGCCCGATTGCATATTTTACAAAATTGTTTAAGCAACTTTGGCTAACATAATTAGTTAGATCATGTCAACCTATCATGATTAATTTTCGGGTATTCACTCCAGGCACTTGTCCTCACAATCTTTTCGGCTCGAAAATCTATTAGCGTTTCCACCGCAGCCTCCATAAATAAACATTGCGCATTCTTTGGTCACAGTATTATAGGACCATTTTTCGAAGTGAGCCAGGCACCCGCCGTTACTTTCTGAATTATGTGGCAATCCGCACACCTCTATGTTGATAATATTATGATAAAAGCTGAGTTAACTTGAAGTTTGTTCCAGTGTCTATTACTAACCATTTTTAAGGGCTAAGGAACTGCCCACGTATGCAGCGAGAACCAAAAAATATAAAATCAGCTTCATTCTAAGATTTGAGAACTTGTAGCTACAATAGACAAACATTGACTAAAGCGGGGATAAACTTTATTTAAAGTTTAAATCTGTGTTGGATTTTTCATCCGGAAAACAAGCCCCGATTCACTCGTGTCTAATTTTAATAATCAAATTTATTGATTTCTCGTGTGATTCTTAAGTAGAGTGTATATAAATGATTTTCTACCAAGAAGCAGCAAATTGACATTTTTCAAATGTTTAACTTCCTCATCGCCTTTCGAAAATCTGAAATATGGAAGGCGCATCCAATTTAAAGAGGACCAAGAAGGCCTTCTGTAGAACGTAACAAAATGATTTATGCGATGTCTAAGTCTCATAAGAACTTTATAACTAAAGTGTGAAACATTAAATTAAATTAAATTAATAAGTTTAACTGAATTGATATGTACAGTAAACATAACGCTGGGGAAGTCTTTAGGGATTATCAATATATTGTTTAATATTCTGGCCCGATTGCATATTTTACAAAAATGCTTAAGCAACTTTGGCTAACATAATTAGTTAGATCATGTCAACCTATCATGATTAATTTTCGGGTATTCACTCCAGGCACTTGTCCTCACAATCTTTTCGGCTCGAAAATCTATTAGCGTTTCCACCGCAGCCTCCATAAATAAACAATGCGCATTCTTTGGTCACAGTATTATAGGACCATTTTTCGAAGTGAGCCAGGCACCCGCCGTTACTTTCTGAATTATGTGGCAATCCGCACACCTCTATGTTGATAATATTATGATAAAAGCTGAGTTAACTTGAAGTTTGTTCCAGTGTCTATTACTAACCATTTTTAAGGGCTAAGGAACTGCCCACGTATGCAGCGAGAACCAAAAAATAAAATATTAGTTTCATTCTTAGATATGAGAACTTGTAGCTGCAGTTGACAAACGTTGACTAAAGCGAGAATAAACTATTTATACAGTTTAAATCTGTATTGTGTGTTTCATCCGGAAAACAAGCCCCGATTCACTCGTGTCTAATTTCATTAATCAAATTTAGTGTGTATAATAAGCGATTCTATCAACCTCACCTTGGCAGGTAGGCAAGCCATTCATTGTTACCTTGGCAGGTCGGCTTGGCAGTACTATAAGGCCAAATCATAGAAAGTATCATCCATTGACATTTTTCAAAAGCTTTTATTCCTCAGCAGCCAGAGAAAATCTGAAGTATGTAAGCACCCAGCAAAGAAAAGAAACATGGTATATGGAACAACGGAACACAATGCTTTATGCGATCTCATTAAACGATGTCGAAAAGCTGTCAACAATATTTAATAAAAGAGGTGGAACTTAAATGGAACGTACATGTTATACCCATTGTTTATTACCTAAGCCCAATTGCATATTCTAAAAATTGTTTAATCAATCTTGGCTAACATAATTAGTTAGAAGAAGTTAACCTATCATGCTGTCTACATTGGCTATTCATTCCAGGCACTTATTCTCACAATCTTGTTGAGTAAAAAAGTTATTAGCATTTCCACCGCAGCTTCCATAAACAAACACTGTGCATTTATTGGACACTGCATCATAGGACCATCTGTTGCCGCGAGCCAAGCAGACTATTCCATCATCAAATCCGTCTTTAGCATGTGGTAAACCGCAGTCCGCTTTATTGAAATTAACGATAAAAAAGCTGAGTTTTTTTGAAGAATGTTTCAGTTTCTAGTACTGACCATGTTTAAGAGCTAAAGAACTGCCCATGCATGCGACAAGAATCGAAAAATATAAAATGAGCTTCATTCTAAGATTTGAGAACTTGTAACCGCAGTTGACAAACGTTGACTGAAACGAGGATAAACTTTGTTTAGAGTTTAAGTCTGTGTTGGATTTTTCATCCGGAAAACAAGCCTCGATTCAGTCGTGTCTAATTTTAATAATCAAATTTAAATCAAATATAACATGTATAAAAAAGTATTTCTATCTACAGTCACCTTGGCAATCGACAAGGCATTAATTTTCACCTACTGCCGGTAGAGTAAAGTACTGTAAGTCGAAATTTAAGAAAGAATCATCAATTGACATATTTAAATACTTAAATTCCTCAGCGTCCAGAGAAAATAAGAAGAACGGAAGGAGCAGACAACAATTTAAAGGATTTCCGACGTACGTCTAAATAGAACAACAGAACGCATATAAACTTGTGTGTTATATATTAACTTTTATTTAATATCCCGGCGTGGTTGCACGTTTTAATAAGTGTGATAACATATTTCGTTAGATCATGTTAAGCTATCAGACTGTCTTCATTGGTTCTCAGCTCGAGGCACTTGTCCTCACAATCTGCTTGGGTTAAAAAGTTATTAGCATTTCCACAGCAGCCTCTATATGAAAAAAGTGTGCATTTGTTGGTCACTGAATCATAGGACCATCTGTTGTTAAGAATCAAGTAGAATCTTCTATCAAGTCCATTATCAGCATGTGGCAAATCGCAGTCCTCTGTGTGGGTATTAACGAAATAAAAGCTGAGTTTGCTTGAAGTCTGTTCTAGTCTCTAATACTGACCATGCTTAAGAGCTAAAGAACTGGACACGTATGCAGCAAGAACCAAAAAATATAAAATCAAATTCATTCTAAAATTTGAGAAATTTTAGCCGCAGTTGACAAAAGTTGACTGAAGCAAGGAGAAATAATATTTACAGTGTAAATCTGTGTTGGGTTTTTCATCCAGCCTCGATTTACTCGTATCTAATTTTAATAATCAAATATAAAGTTTGAAATTATCGTGTGTGTAAGGTCTTTATACCTAGAGCTCCCATTGTAGTCTGGTAATTATTTAATCATTTAAGGCTAGTATTTGCATCTTGTAGCGTGGGCGTGGCATAAGATAAATGCATTGCCATACGCAAGCCACAATCGGCTAAGGCTTACGTGAAAGCTCAGTAAGGATCATCCATTGAAAGCTGCCGATCGCTAGCACCCAGAGAAATGTCAAACAATTTATACGATTCCTAGTCACATGTAAATACGGAACTAATTAATGTAAAATATTCAATTAAGAGCTAGAGCTATACCGATTTAAACTTGATGCACGACGTTCGCGACGAGATTAGGTCGAATACCAGAGTTTAACAGAAATTAAGCTCACCAAAAATAGACTCGGAATGGATTTTGCACAAAGTTAAGATACTCTCAATAAATTCACAAACAAATGATTACAGTAAAACGAATTTCGGAAGAGGGATATATGTCAGTATGGGTATTAAATTTTAGTACAAGCTGAACTGATACATGGCAGGAAACATAAATTCCCTTAAACTATAATATATACTAAGTAATGTATAATTAAATCAAAATTAAATATACTAATAATAGCATGCAAATTGTTCAGTCTGCGCCATTAAAAAACTCAAATTGTGTTTGGCCTTCTGAAGATCAACGCACGTATTCACTTTTAGTGTTTTCTCGTATTTTAATTGTTTATGCAAATTCTCAAGATAAATGTAATTAAAGTGCTTCACACACTTTGCAGCAAGAAAACAACAAAAAAAAACTTAAATATTTGCGAGCGCAGCTGGCAGGTGTTTACTTGAATTGTGATTGTTTTTTTTTCAGTCGGTCATGATTTTACGATTTGTTGTATTACTTGAAATTTCAATAAAAGCAATTGAAAACCTGTCTTTTATGCATTTCATGCATCTTCCTTAGTATTTCAATTATAAGCTAAATTTTATTTTAATAATTTGTTTGCGCACGTTGCATATTCAACTCGGGGTTATGTAAGAAATCTGTCCTCGTTATATTTACAGATCTGCTTTAATTTATTATTATTTCATTTTGCTGCCTTTTGTTATCATTAAGCCGAGAGTCATTTTTTTATTTCTTACATCATTTTGCTGGCTAAAAAATAGTCGTTTCAAGATAAAAGTAAATTTTGGGAGAATGCTTGGAATGTTTTTAATAAGAGATAAGATTTGCTATTATCATGTCTGTCTTTCTGTCTGGTAAACTAACTTGAGAGCAAGCAATTCTTTAAAAAACGTAATATATATGCATCTTTCTGGTCCAGGTAGAACATTCTATATCATATAACTGATTTTTTGAATATAAAGTTTATGAATATTAAGTTTATTTATGAAAAGAGTTGTTCAATTTCAAGATATCCTAATCAAACCCACTGTGCTCCTTATATAGGAGAAAAATCGTAACAACATTGAACCACAATATCATTTTTCTCTTCACATAAGACCAACATTTGGCAGCGTATTCAATCTCTGGCATGCCAGAGATTAAAGTTCATTATTGTGTAAGGTAATTTTTGATACATTTGAATTTGTGAATGTCATCTAATTATGCCAACTTAGCTTGGCGCCCTTAAATTCTTTTTTTTATTTATGTAACTTTATTTACATTTTTCTGATTGACTTTCGGAATTATTGAGTTGACATCAGCATAAAAGTTCCAGACGAATGATTGGCTTGTGAGTGTTTGCTTATTTACTACAGTTTCGCAATTTGCATGAAATATACAAGAATAGCGAGATAAAGAAATGCTTGTAGTCAGCTGAGTGCATATCTAATGCGATGATAAATGCTTGCGATGAAACGCTCGACTTGAGATTAGCTGCAAAAAGATGGCAAATGGCAAATGGAAGATGGAAGCACACACAGGACATCCGGTTGAAGGCATTTGAATAACAATAACGATATCAAACGATATCAAAGTGCTGAGTGCATGTATTGAGAGCCAAAGGCAATTGCCATTAGCATATATGGCACAAAGTCGGAATTGATTTGGTCAACCGTTACAACAACAAACAGCGGGCAATGATTCAGCTAAAACAGCAGCAGCAGCAATAGTCGACCTTCTGCCCAGTGGGTTGTCCCCTCGCCCACTTGGCTTGTCAGCTACTGCCGCTGCGCTATTATATCCTGATCCATATCCTGATCCCATGTTAGTTTGTGCGTGTCTTCTTCTTTCTTCTTTTTTTTTTTTTATTGTGGTGTGTCGCCTTATTGTTGTTCTTGCTTTGGTTGTTGTTGTCTGGGCGCGTTGACATGTGAGCTAAAGCAGAGCCGGGCCGCCCGTGGCCTTTTTGCCGGCTGATGAGACCGCCCACCGCTAACCGTCGCACACTTCCTCCCCGCCACACTTATCGCAAAAAAAAAAAAAACCAGCAGCCGCCTTTTGCCTGGGTGTGGCATATGGTTACATTGGCAGCACAACAAAACACAAAACACCCTCATTTACGCCCAATTAAATTTTCAAGTTGGTTTTTTACGAGCGAAACCATTTGATTTTGAAGAAATGAATTCCACTGTACTTACAAAAATATAATTCTAATAGAATATAGAAGTGCGATAGCAACATGATGTCGTCTGATATAGATAGGATTTTCATTTTAAATAAGGATCAGTCTATTCAAAATAACTTAAAGCACAACAAGTTACCATACAAGATCCTCCTTTCTTATAGATGCTATGTCTTCTCGGAAATAACTCCTTCTATGTGTTACACATATCATGACAAGAATTATAAAACCCAACGGTGGTATAAAAAAATGACATAAAGCGTGACATCAATCAATTTAAAAAAAAACATACGTTTGTAATTCCCAACGGGTTTAGGAGCTGACTGGTCAAATGCGTTGCTTGACTTGAAAACTGCTTATAGAAGGATGCTGAAGGGTTATAAGTTTGATATTGGTTTACTTTTGTATCTATGGAATACAGAGTCTACGGGCTATTCTAGGCGGGCACTCAAAACCAATGAACTTCAAATCGATTACCCATCTAATATATATCTGTCTCACTAAGAATCTCGATGCTAAAGACAATGCTGGAGTCATTCAGTCGCTGTTCCGTTGGTGATTAGAGGCTGGCATTGATAGCACGTGTCGGTTATATCAATGCAGCATCATTAGATCGCTAGTTTGACTTTCTTTTTGAGAGCTCAGCGTGTGGGGCTGGGCCAGAAGGGGGCACTCTTAATGTTTCCGCTGGCGCACACGACATCCGCTGACCGGATGTGCGCCAATGGAATTTAAACGTTTTCATCCAAAACATTAACTGAATCGTCTTCCGCTGCGCACGCCTGCTCAATAGCCCGTGCCCGGGTTCGGCACCGCAGGAGTCGCCAGGCGAGAGTCAAAAGTCTCGCCATCAGCCAGAGCCAACCCGGCAGCCAGCCACCCACCCAACCAGCTAATATCATTACTGCTCTCATTGTGGTCGTTGTCTGGCTATAATAATACACAGCTCCCAAATTTTCTGATTTTTTTTTCCACTTCCTCTTTTCTTTCTCCTGGTCGTAATCAATTGCTAATTTAGTCATCGCCGCCTTTAGGGGTGACATTTGTCCTGCTCGGATTTGTAAATATTTGCTTGGAAAATTGCTCTCGGGGGTGGCGTGCGCTCTGTTCTGTTTGCCCTTGTACTCTTTATTCTATTTTCCTTCTCCTTTTTTTTCTTTTTTTGCTAGCAGTTGTTTTTGTGCTCAGTCGCATTGTTATTGTCAAATTGAGGACAAAATGCGACACTTGCCATAAATTTATTGTTTGCTGTTGCCTAATGCCATTGTAAGTGGAGGCTTAATGACACGCAGGCAATTAGCAGATCGTTGAGTTTTAATCGCGCTGGCTTACAGGGGTGTGCACCAGGGGTTTCATATAAATATTATAGTTAAGGACGAGTGTGTGTGTGTGCTGCCATGGATAGCCCTTGGCATCAACTGTAGCTAACAACAGGAGCTTCACGTAATTGGATTGCGTGGAACTTTTCCACAAGAAATCAGAACATATGAAATAGTAAAATTATGTTCTAATTTTGATTTTGTTGTTTTCTTATATTGAGAATAGCTATTTACCCAGCACTATTTGGAATTTTATAGGGTTCAAAGGACTCGAGTTAAATACTTAATATTAACATTAGAATGCATATTTGCATATTTGAAATACTCGATTGAGGTTAACTACAAATGCTTAAAAGTAAAGTCAATAAATCGATATTTCTAAAGCAAACATAGACAGCTTCAAATAGACACGCGTATAATCAAATAAGGTAAGGATTATTGCTATAAAGAGAAATAATACTACTTACTTATCGTTGGTAACGCTGCCAGCTCCAAAGCTGCCAAAGATGTGACTGTTAAAGGCTGCGGCGGCTGCCGAATGTGGCAGCTGTGCTGCATGCGGCGTTGTTGGTGTTGGTGTGGACGAGGCCGAGTTGTTGGACGATGCCGCCATACGCGACCCGGTGGTCAGCGACATGGGGCCACCCACCTCGATGGGTGAGTCTGTGTTGCGCGAATTGGAGGGGCTGCTGGGGCCCAGGCCGCCGGCCAACGGCGTGTGTTCGCGCATGCCCGGCGATGGGGAACCGGCGCTAATGGAGCCCAGTGACTGCGAGGCGGAGTGTGGTGTGGCTGTCAGCTGGGCAGAGGACAGCGGTCGCTCATTGTCGCTGGAGTCCAGTTGATGACCGCCAGTCGGACTGCGTGAATGCTGCTGTTCCATGGGTCCATTTGTCAAAGGACTATGCGAACGTTGACGTGGCGGCAGCTCATCCATATCATCATCGATCTCGCCGGTGATATCTGGCGAGGATTCGCGTGAGTCATGAAGCTGCAGAAGAGAAGAAATGCATGAATATTGATGCATGTTAAGCTAGCTCAATTAAGCCTTATCTATGGCTTTCCTTTATATCATATATATCTATATATATATATATAGTGACATATCCATAGTCGCACCCACCCTTTAACATATCTTAGCACATAAGCATAAGCACAATTATAAACATTTCTAATATTGTAAACAAAGAGCCTGGTGATAACATCGACATTGGTCAAGATCAAACTGTCCCCCTTTGGTAGACATAAACAATTCACCCTAAATATCACGCCACTGTCAATGTTCCCATCAGAGTACTATCCCACGCATAATTGCTGACGCAGCTCAAACTTCACTCAATTTTGACTCAAACTCTCTCAAAGCGAAGTTTGCTAAGCGACCGCAACAGTTAGATAAATCAGTTCTTATTCGGGAAGCAAATCTGAATGTACTCAACAAAAGTAGCCGTTAAGTGAAAATAATAAATTGAAATATATTTTTTATAGTAACCTAACGTGTAAAACTTAATTGGCGCAGCCGGTAGGATACGTCGGGAAAAATTAAAGATCGCTAAAGGATAATTAATTCCCAGATCTAACGCACAATCGCGACCGAAAGTGTTGTCGGAGTGTAATAAAAATTTTCTCGAATACGTATCCGCACAAGAACCTTCGGGTCATTAGTAGCTTAATAATATTGACCCTTTGGGCAATAAAGCTACTACAGTTAATAACGACTGGATTTGCATATCGTTTGATCCCTGCAATACGTTATTACTGAGTCTTTTTAAGACACACACACAAAAAAAAAAAACATTTAACCAATAATCCATCACAAACTTTAACCTAAAATAAAAGTGCAAAATCAAAGAACAATAAAGTTCAAACCTACAAACTCAAAACTATTCAAAAAAAGTGTATTACATCAAGATGACCATGGAATTATCAGAACAACACCTCAACCAGGCCCTTTCACAACTTAGACAGGTGCCAAGCTTTGACGGATCAACGGATCAACTAAACGCCTTCATTAAAAGGATAGATTACATCCTACACCTGTATCCAACCCGAGATGTTAGACAACATAGCATCTTATACGGAGCCATCGAATTGCAAGTCACAGGAGATGCTCAGAGAATATCACAAAGGACAGCAGCCAACACTTGGCAGGAGCTGAGAAACGCATTGATTGAAGAATACAAAGTGCAGACACCATTTGAAGAACTCCTTCGACGCTTATACAACACGAATTACCAAGGAAACGTCCGTAAGTTCATCGAGGAGCTCGAAAATAAATCTTTTGTTATATTAAATAAGTTAGCACTAGAAAATATACCTAGCAATACAACCCTTTATACAAATGCTATGAATAACACAATCAAAGATGTTATTACAAAAAAATTACCAGATAGGCTTTTCATGATGTTAGCCAGACACGACATTACGTCGACACAAAAACTAAAGCAAGTAGCTCAAAGAGAGGGATTATATGAAAATAGCGTTACTGAAAAACCTAAAAATAATAATGTTCAGGGAAATCCAAATAACAATCGTAGGAACATGGGAAATTATCAGCAAAATGCTAACCCAACCACCATTTCAAGTGGTTATTCCAACACGAATCAGAGTTATCACGCACAAAATAAACAGCATAATAAGTCCGAAGACAATCAGAAAGCTCACCACGAGTTCCAACAGAAATTAAGTCAAGGTAGATACCAAAATCCCTTAAACTACCAAAATCAGTCCCATTCACGCTTGAATGCACCAAACCCTCCGACTAAACGTCAAAGAGATAGTAACAGTGGGCAGATGAAAATGGATACATCCGAAAATTTTCATCAGCAAGCCTCGGAACAAACAGAACAAATCCATTCATAAAATTGATTATGAATGACGAAGTTCTAAAATGTGTCATCGACACAGGTTCAACCATAAATCTAATGAAAACAAACCGCTTAAATTTTCCAGTTTACAACGAAACATTAAAGGTTCACACCATAAATGGTGTTATTGAATTAAAACAAAGTATACGCTTAGGAGCAAGCAAAATTTGTCCGAGCAAACAAAAATTCTATATTCACGACTTCTCAGAGCATTATGATGTTCTGATTGGGAGAGAATACCTTGAGGCATGTCAAGCAAAAATAGACTATGCACAAGGATCCGTAACCTTAGGAGAATTTAACTTTTGTTTTAGATATAACGACGAAGAGGTCGAAGAGGACATGACCGCACAAGAGTGCCTTGATCCACCCTCAACAGAGGACAGACCATTTAACTTCGCTATTAATAATGAATTAATAGAAAACAATGAGTTTAGGCTAGAGCACCTAAACTCAGAAGAAAAAGAAAAAATAAAAAAAGTTTTACATGAATTTCGTGATATCCAGTACCATGAAGGTGACAATTTGACTTTCACTAGTACAATTAAACACAAAATTCTAACAAAACATGAGGACCCAATTTACAAGCGTCCATACAAATATCCTCAAATATACGATGAGGAAGTAAATAAACAAATAAGCGATATGATAAAACAAAATATCATACGTAAATCCAAATCCCCTTACTGCTCACCAGTAATAATCGTTCCAAAGAAAAACGATGCATCTGGAAAGCAAAAGTTCCGGTTAGTCATAGATTACCGCAATCTCAATGAACTAACTATTAATGATAAATACCCTATCCCGATCATGGATGAAATATTAGACAAACTTGGAAAATGTCAATATTTCACAACCATTGATCTAGCCAAAGGCTTCCACCAAATCCAAATGGATCCTGGTTCAATACCCAAGACCGCATTTTCGACTAAACATGGCCATTACGAGTACACTCGCATGCCATTTGGTCTTAAGAATGCACCTGCAACGTTCCAACGTTGTATGAACAATCTCTTAGAAGATTTAATTTTTAAAGATTGTCTGGTCTACTTAGACGACATTATTATTTTTTCCACTTCATTGGAGGAACACATTTTGTCGCTACAAAAGGTATTTAAGAAGCTTAGAGAAGCTAACTTAAAACTACAGTTGGATAAATGCGAGTTTATGAGAAAAGAAACTGAATTTCTCGGTCACATCATCACAACTGAGGGTATAAAACCAAATCCCAACAAGATACAAGCAATTGTCAAATTCCCAATTCCAAAAACCCCAAAAGAAATAAAATCATTTCTAGGATTATGTGGTTTCTATAGGAAATTTATACCAAATTTCGCTAATATAGTAAAACCATTAACACTTAAATTAAAAAAAGGAGCAAAAATCAATATAAAAGACAGAGACTACGAACTAGCGTTTGAAAAGCTAAAAGTACTCATAACATCCGACCCAATTTTAATATACCCTAACTTCGAAAAACCATTTTCATTAACTACAGACGCGAGTAATATGGCAATAGGGGCCGTCCTTTCGCAAGAGCATAAGCCTATATGCTATGCAAGTAGAACTCTCAACGAGCATGAGTTAAATTATTCAACGATTGAAAAAGAATTATTAGCAATCGTTTGGGCCACTAAATACTTTAGGTCCTATCTCTTTGGTCGACAATTTCAAATCCTTAGTGATCACAGACCACTCGTCTGGTTAAATAATATGAAAGAACCTAACATGAAATTACAAAGGTGGAAGATCAAGCTAAATGAGTTTGATTTCCAAATTAAATACGTCCCAGGAAAAGAAAATTATGTGGCAGATGCTCTGTCCAGAATTCAATTAAACGAAAACTTCTTAGGCGAAGATACAATTAGCACAAGAGCAACAATACATAGTGCTCAAGAAGACAACAGTAACCATTTACAAATCACAGAAAGACCACTTAATTATTATAATCGACAAATAGAATTTGAAAAAGGAACCGAGAACGAAACAAAAGTTACGAATTACTTTCACAAAACCAACATAAAAATTACGTACAAAGACATGACTAATACGCATGCCAAAGAATTAATAAAAGAATACTTATGCACAAAGAAAAGTGTGCTATACTTCCACAACGAAGCAGATTTTCCAATTTTTCAAGAAGCCTACTTAGAAATAATAAGTCCGAATAATTCAACAAAGGCAATGAAAACTAGTACAAAATTAATAGACCTTCAAACATACGCAGAATTCAAAGAATTAATATTAAAAAAGCACAAAGAATTATTACATCCAGGAATTGAAAAAACTATCAATTGGTTCAAAGAAACCCACTATTTCCCAGATTATCAAAATTTAATTCAAAATCTAATAAATGAATGTGAGATTTGCAACATCGCAAAAACAGAACACAGAGATACAAAATTAACTTTCGAAATAACTCCGGAAATCGCTAATATCCGAGAAAAATATGTAATGGATTTTTACATAGTAGGAGATAAACAATTTTTATCTTGCATTGATATCTATTCAAAATTTGCATCATTAATAGAAATAAAAAGTAGAGACTGGCTAGAAACCAAACGAGCTATATTACAAGTGTTCAACCAAATGGGTAAACCCATCGAAATAAAGGCAGACAAAGACTCAGCTTTTATGTGCACAGCTTTACAATTATGGCTAAAATCAGAAGCAGTAAATATTAATATAACCACTAGTAAAAATGGTATATCCGACGTAGAACGATTTCATAAGACAGTTAACGAAAAACTAAGAATCATTAACAGCGACTCAGACGTCGAAAATAAACTTACAAAATTTGAAACTATACTCTACACGTACAATCATAAAACAAAGCACAAAACGACTAACAGAACACCAGCGGACATATTCATATATGCAGGTACACCAGAGTATGACACTCAAGCTAATAAAGAAAAACTAATAAATAATCTCAACAAAAAACGAACAAATTATGAAATTGACACTAGATACAAACACTCACCGTTAGTTAAATCAAAGACGACAACCCCGTTCAAGAAAACAGGAGAACTAAGACAAATCGACGACAAACATTTTGAGGAAACTAACAGAGGCAGGAAAATAACACATTACAAAACCAAATTCAAAAAGAAAAAGAAGACTAATCAAAGCAAATATAACAATTACAGGTCAACAACAGACAGCGATCAAAACATACAAGCACCAGCTTAAATTAATTATTATAATATTACTATCAATAACTGTAAACTATATAAATGCACAGAGTATTGAAATTAATCCTATCAAAGCCCATAACGGATATCTCATATTTAAAACAGGAACCATAGACATTCCGACAGATTACGAATTCCACTGTTTAACGGTTAATATAACAAAAACCGAAGAAACTTTTAACAATTTAATTGAACAAAGTAAAGAATTCAATAACCTTATACAAATCGAATACCTAGTAGAAAAATTAAACAGAGAAATAAACGGCTTAAAAATAGCCAAACGCAGCAAAAGAGGTTTAGTTAACATAGTAGGAACAGCATATAAATACTTATTTGGAACATTAGATCAAGAAGACAAAGCAGAAATTGAACAAAAAATAAGCAACTTAGCAGAAAACAGCGTTCAGGTTAACGAATTAAATTACATAATAGAAGCTATAAACAAAGGAATAGAAATCATGAACGAACTAGATCAAGAGAAACAAAAAGGAAAGAAATTAGATATCCTTATATTTAACTTACAACACTTTACAGAATATATAGAAGACATTGAGATGGGAATGCAGCTCACAAGATTAGGAATTTTTAACCCAAAATTACTAAAACATGACTATTTGTTGCATGTTAATTCTGAGAAATTGTTGAATACAAAAACTTCCACTTGGTTTAAATCAGATACAAACGAAATACTTATAATATCCCATATTCCTCGAGAAATAATAAAAAGCCCGGTATTCGAAATAATTCCATACCCGGATGAAAATAATAATATTTTGACAGAAATAGCTCATGAAAAATATTTTACCCAAGATAAAAAAGTTTATAGCAGAGAAACAAAAAAATTAATTAATAATGAATGTTTAACAGGAATTTTAAACCAAATAACATCAGAATGTAGTTATACTAAAATTTTGCAAAATTTTCAAATCAACTACATAGAACCAAATATAATTTTAACTTGGAATTTACCAAAAACTATATTAAACCATAATTGTATAAATAACGAAATAACAATAGAAGGAAACAATATAATAAAAATCTTTAATTGTTCATTGCAAATTAATGAAATTTCAATTTCAAACAATATGTTAGATTATACTCAAAGCATTTACGTAAGCAATGATGTTATAAAATTAGAACCACTTTCGTTTGTACAAACGAAACAAATTATAAATGCACATACAAAATTTAACAATGTATTCCAGATAATTACAATAACCATATTTGTAATCATATTAATAAGTTTAACACTGTATTTGACATATAAGTTCAAAAGCATACCTAAGAAATTAATTATAAAATATAAAAAACCCAAAGTAGAAGAAACACCTACAATAATAGGAGATATACCAATTGTAAAAGAAGAAAATGTTACACTATATCCAAACTTAAACACCTGAGGACAGGCACTTTTCTAATGGTTGGGGGAGTGACATATCCATAGTCGCACCCACCCTTTAACATATCTTAGCACATAAGCATAAGCACAATTATAAACATTTCTAATATTGTAAACAAAGAGCCTGGTGATAACATCGACATTGGTCAAGATCAAACTGTCCCCCTTTGGTAGACATAAACAATTCACCCTAAATATCACGCCACTGTCAATGTTCCCATCAGAGTACTATCCCACGCATAATTGCTGACGCAGCTCAAACTTCACTCAATTTTGACTCAAACTCTCTCAAAGCGAAGTTTGCTAAGCGACCGCAACAGTTAGATAAATCAGTTCTTATTCGGGAAGCAAATCTGAATGTACTCAACAAAAGTAGCCGTTAAGTGAAAATAATAAATTGAAATATATTTTTTATAGTAACCTAACGTGTAAAACTTAATTATATATATATATATATATATATACATATATCTTACCTTATCCAGCGAACTGCTGCTTTCGCCATTTTCCCGCTTGCGCTGCTCATCCTTGAGTCGCTCCGCTTTGCGCCATTTGGCGCGTCGATTCTGGAACCAGACCTGCGGACGAGAAGGAGCAGGAGATTTGGTGGGGGGAGAGCGGGAGAATAAAGTTAGAAAATTGCTTTTGTATGGCTGAGTGCTGTTATTTATGCTGTGGGCCAAAGTTGTGACTTGAGTTGGCTGCCAGCCAATTGAAAATTGGAAAACTTTCTCACACACGCACGCACAAACACACACACACATGCACGGGCGAAAAACAATAAACGAAATTTTCCACCTCAGAAACTTTAACAATTTGTTGTTTGCACCAAGCAACCAAACCACACGCCCACATTTGCCGCCTGCGCCCTGCGTTCGCATTGTGTCTTCGAAGACATAAACAAACAAAATCTGATTTTCAATTTTGCGCAGGCACACAAAACAAATTTGGCCTGTAATCAGCGCCTAAATTGGTAAGAGGCTGGCAAGGGGCAGGGGGTGTTTGCCACCCACCACACACACACACACACACACAAGCACACACACATGCCATCAGAGCATCTTCACTAATGAGCTTCAATCAAGACAATGCCCAGGCATCCTTCGAAGTTGCCCCCCATGCTCTGCTCTGTTTCCTCGCTTCCTTGGCATCCTTTTGCCTGCTTGCTTATGCGCGCGTGTTTCCTTTTTGTGCTATTGTTGTTCGTGCTCTTGCTGTTGTTGTTGTTGCTGTTGTTGCTGCTGTGTTTGCTTTTAGTTCCGGTTACGCTGATTCCATGCTTAAAGCGGCCCCTAATGGGATTTCTAACTTGAGGGGGCGCGCCATCTAACTGCCTCTCCACCTTCCTCCCACTCTTTGTGCCTGTTTGTGTGTGTGTGTGTGTAAGTAAATTTCCTAATCAAAATTCAAATTAGACATTGTGCAAAAGTTCGCATTGTTGTAATCATAACGCAACATAAAACAATTTCAACATTTTGCGCCTCGAGGCAACTTTCTCCGCTCTCTCTCTCTCTCTCTCTCTCTCTGTCTCTCTCGCCTTACTCTTCTGCTCCACTGCCATGGCCGCCATGTTGGCTTTATACCAGACACAATACTCACACACACACACCCACTTAACCAAACACTAGCCCAACCCAGGCCCATGCGCCCTGCCAGGCTCCAGCTAACAATAAATTGCGCACAATCCAACCCCCAAAAGGCAGTTACAGCTACCACCCACAACCACACACCCCCCAAGCATACTTGCAGCAAAGTTATTGCGGGGGTTTTCACGTTTTGATATATATATACATGTATTTTTTTTTCGTTCTTTTTTGGTGGTGACGCCCACCAGTTACTTAATACAATATTTATGCCATAAGCACATTACCAATAAAATATGGCTGGGTAAACTTTTTTCCAAGTGCAGCGACCACCTCGGGGTTCGCTCCGCTGAGCGAGACACATATAGCTGACAGGAGGGAGACAGACAGTGTGTGGCTGTTGCCTCGGCTGAGCTTGGGTTATTATTATGACAAAAATTGAATAATGAAAAACAATTGTGTGCGTCTGCCTTGACTTTATCCAGCCAACCCACCCAGATAACCCATATATATACATGATTGTGTGTGTGTGTGTGTGTGTGTGCTTCCTTCTGCCAATAATAATTTCATGCACATTTTTGCTTTGTTTTATTGCAATACCTAACCAAAAAAAAAAAAAAGAAAAGCAAACCCAATCCTCAATCTACAGTAAGACATTACCATATTTCTTATTTATTCAATTCGCTTGGTTTAGTTTCTTGATTGCTTCTCAATGCTTCACTGTGACGGGTACCTAGAGAGCTGAAGTAACTTTTCAGTTTTTGTTGCTTTTTGCCTTTTGGCATATTAATTTACAACAAGGCTAATTGATTTCGTTTGGCTACAACATTTTTGCATATTTAATTCAAGTTTTAATTTTTATTTTATTTTCTGATGATGCAGCTGCTTGGATTTGGCCGCATACTTTTAGGTGCTTCGCTTAAAGTGTTTGCTAATCTGGACTTAAGTTTATTTAAGCCGAAAGCTTCCTAATGCTTTAGATGTATTTTTTAGACATTAGAGAATTTTTTCTAAATTATTTCATATTTATATATAAAATTCTATCAATAACCAAATTACACATAAAACATTTTGTATGCATTGAAGATCGTAAGCCAAAAATTATCTCATAAATATTATTATTATTATTCAATATTATTAACAATTAATTCTGTTTAAGAATATTCACTTGTAAAATTGGAGTTTCATATTATTCTTTGAAGCGCAAAAAATGTGACCAAGCGTATTGGGCAAATCCAAGAACAGGTCGTAGCAGAGTTATAAAAAGCTAATTTTGTATGTCACCCTCTGATGATGATTAGGAATAAAGGCTTAATCGGCTGCGAGATACATATTGCTATATTCAAAGGTTAAAAAATATCCCAACCAAGTCAAAAGCTGTAATAGTATAAACACGAATTGTTTATGCTAAGTTTATCTTTAGTATAATGGAACATGAAGACATATTTCCCGATTCCAACTAATTTCTAGACTAGGCATGGATATTTTTAGCATTTTATGTAGGTCCCCCTCACAATATTTTATAGCATTTGTATACCTATAAAAATATTTGCAATAAGCAAGCATACTTGGGACACTTTTCAACACGGTTTAATTCTTTTTGTTTTTTTTTTTGTTTTTTTCCTGCAACCCACATTCGCTTCACAACACACGTCGCTACTTATAAATAGAAGCATTTCAGAGTAGCTCTCCCTATGGCGTTGATTGCAGCCCTACTCTATATAATTTATTTACCTCTACAAAAAGTAAAAATAAAAGAAACGCCCGAAGGCGGCAAAAGTGCTCATAATTTCGGTAACAATGCGACATAAGGTAAACATTGGCACTGCGATTGCAAGACAGAGTATCAGGACTCAAAAAAAAATTGTGGTTACAAGTTACAAAAAGCGATTTGTGATGAAAAAGCAAAAACAAATAAGCAAACAGCGGTAAATAAAGCAAAGTTGTTTAACAAAATGGAAACAATGCAAAGGTAAACACCACCCAAAGGCGGACGCGCAGCAGGCCGAGAATGTGAGAAGGAAAATGAGAATGTGGCCGAGATCGGCCCGGGGTAATTATGGCAAGTGCGCACCATTAGCTTCCGCAAACAGTTTGGCGGGCAGCCACTCTCCACAGGACGATGATGTCGCTCAGCTCAAGTGGAATGAATGAACAGATGTGTTAATATCAAACGCATTTCGTGAACCCTTTGCCAACAACAGTTGCCGCTGCCGCTGCCGCAGCAACAATAATTGGGCTACCGCAACAGCAACACCCCTCGGTAACCGCCCCGTTCGCCGGCGGCGAGCATATGCGGCAGCAGCACTCCTGATACCAAGTGCTCGGCCCATCAACTTGGATCAGCATTAAAGGATTATTGAAGCAAATGCAATTATTTGACAGCACACACACACACACACCCCGCCAACCCCTTTTGGGCAGAGCGAACGCGAACGATGTCTTGAGATGTGGCTTTGGTTGGGTTGAGTGGTTGACTGGTTCCCACTAGTTTCTACACAATTCCCATAGTCTGTGATTATAATAAATTATCAATTATTGGCATTATATGCGGTCGCATTTCTTTTCGACTCTTTCCTTGGGGCATTGTGGGCGTTGTGGGTGTGCCTTTTGTGGATTGTCATGCTGCAGACATAATTCTAAACGAATTAACTATGAAATGGGAACTTTTTGTAATACGAAACGTTATAATGCATGTGCTGAGCTATTCATATATCCGCAATGAATATTAATGTTTCATTTCGTTTGGTCATTGTGATTGAATGTATTTGCTAAGGGCATCTGAGCTATCATAAATCCTGCTTTAGAATGGGTTTGTTTGTTTTCTTGCCAATTCATTTGTTTTTTACATATGAACAGGGACTTTTGTCCGATAGTTTCTATGTTAATATTAATATTATTTTTATTTTAATTATTATTTATTTAATTTATTTTGCTAACCAACTAGAAGTAATTTTAAAATTTAAATTGTAACAAAAAAAGGCATTTCCCTGTCTAAGTAACAGAATAGTGGGAAAATATGCAACATTAGCATGGACTCATGTTGGTGCTGATCTATAATTCTACATATCCTATATAGACATGGATCAAAATTTGCCACCCTCATAACTCGGTCAAATCTCATCCGACTTTAAAAAGGTTTGGCTTTTTGTTCATGGTTTGGCCTCTAGATCAATTCTGCATCAAAATCTGGCAACATAATTTTTTGTCGAAATTCATGTCAAAATGGTATCCCCAAATATCCTATATAGACATGGATCAATATTTCCAACCCTCATAACTCGGTCAAATCTCATCCGATTTTAAAAAGGTTTGGCTTTTTGTTAATGGTTTAGCATCTAGATCAATTCTGCATCAAAATCTGGCAACATCATTTTTTGTCGAAATTCATGTCAAAATGGTACCCTTAAATATTCTATATTGACGTAGTCAAAACTTCCCACACCCATAACTTGGTCAAATCTCATCCGATTTTAAAAAGGTTTGACTTTTTATTCATGGTTTGGCATCTAGATCAATTCTGCATCAAAATCTGGCAACATCATTTTTTGTCGAAATTCATGTCAAAATGGTACCCTCAGATATCCTATATGGACATGGATCAATATTTCCCACCCTCATAACTTGGTCAAATCTTAACCGATTTTAAAAAGGTTTGGCTTTTTATTCATGGTTTGGCCTCTAGATCAATTCTGCATCAAAATCTGGCAACATCATTTTTTGTCGAAATTCATGTCAAAATGGTACCCTTAAATATTCTATATTGACGTAGTCAAAACTTCCCACACCCATAACTTGGTCAAATCTCATCCGATTTTAAAAAGGTTTGGCTTTTTATTCATGGTTTGGGATCTAGATCAATTCTGCATCAAAATCTGGCAACATAATTTTTTGTCGAAATTCATGTCAAAATGGTACCCTCAGATATCCTATATAGACGTAGTCAAAACTTCCCACACCCATAACTTGGTCAAATCTCATCCGATTTTAAAAAG